AAGTCCGTACCTACGGCTAGCAGGACGGGGAAATCCTCATTTCTAAAGAATTGGCCTTTTTTCTAAAGAAGTTTAGCGCGCGCCCTCTTAAAAGTCCTCTTTTCTAAAGAATTGGCGCCCTCACCTGTATTTCGACTTGGCCTTGGATTACAGCTTGGCCTTAGGTTTCAGCTTGGCCTTGGATAAGAGTTCGGGTTTCTGGTTTTCCCGTCGGGTTTCGGGTGGGGTTTCGGGTTTCCCTTTCTCCGCTTTCACCTGCAATTCCTGTTTTTTTTGGGGAACTTGCGGTCAGGTTTGGTCTTGGATAAGAGTTCGGGTTTCTGGTTTTCCCGTCGGGTTTCGGGTGGGGTTTCGGGTTTTCTTTTCTCCGCTTTTACCTGCAATTCCTGTTTTTGGGGGAACTTGCGGTCAGGTTTGGCTCTGGCCCCGGCCGTGGGTTACGGTTTGGGCTCGGGTAACAGTATTACCCCGTTCTAGCGTGCTTGACACCCTAACTCTTCCAACTCCAAACGCGGCTTTTGTTCATTCAGAAACTGGTCTGGTCGCAAAATCATGCGACACCAGATGTGTAAGAGACTCATAGATGCCTGATCTCGACATCAGACAAGAAAAGGACTTCTTTCTACAAGTCGACTGGTAAATTCATAGCATGAATTAACGGCAACTACGCAAGGTAGCGTGCAGGCAGCGGTCTATTCCGTCTAGGTCGCTCGCCTACGTCAGCTTGTTGGCTGGTTTTCCTTCTTTTCATGTCTGCATCTGAAAAGACTCCGCATTCATTCCTCTCCGCGCTTCATTTTTGAACACCTTCGCCTGGAGTGTGACCGAGTCTGCTCCGTCCGCGTTTCTTCGATGTTCTGCTGTCTCCGCTACTCCCTTGCGGTACGCTTTTTCCTTCGCAGTTGTCTTCTCTCAAATCATCTGCTGGAAAGTGCCTCATCTGCGACAACACTCTCTCCGTAGACTCACCTTGGCAGTCTTCTAAGCGTCCTTGAGCTACATCCTCTCTCTTCGCTTCCTTCTTTCCGAATTCCCCTCTGGCGGCCAAGGTTGCAATATCCGCCAATAGCCGATCCTTCTCAATCTCGTTGGCCTGCTCAACCTCCACGTCTGTGGGATGCCTCTGCAATGCTGCCATATTCTGACTGGTGTGTGGACGCCCGGGCCGCATGCGCGGAATAGTAATTCTGGCTGGCAGTGTTATGATACCTAGTAAGTGATCTACCACTAGTGCGTGATGGCATCGGAGAGAGGTTGCAAATCCTTTGCAACTGCACAACGCCCTTCGATCACTGTCTCCACCCGTGGATGCAGAAATGACCACGTGGATCTTCAGAATGTCTTCTTCGAAGTCTTCGCACGACGTTAACACATAAGGGTTCGGGCACTTGTCAAACTCTATTCTTCTCAGGGCTGCTGGTTTGGTGAGTGGCTCCGACCGACGGGATGATGCCACGCAGAATACTCGATCTCCTCTCGTCGTCTGCTCTACCTCCTCCACTAGTTCCGATATACTTTCAAAGTGCTTTTCAAGTCTTTCACTAGCCTTAGTCTCCATTTCTGGACTAGCTGAGCGCATACAACCGGTTGTGGTTATGTTTATCCTTCCTCCTTCAAAATCTCCTATCGCTCTTAGGTAGTCCCTCAACTTGCACACAACCCCAGTGTCCCCCGTTAAGCTGCTCATCCTCTCCTTCCCCAGATAGTGACATCTGAAGGATGAGAATCCACTCTCCATACAATTGTTCGTTGGCGGGAAACATCCGACCTGTCCCCTATTCAAGACACTTGCAGGAGACTCGTGATGGAAACCCCCCCTTGCACTTCTGCAATCTACCCACGAATGCTGCAGTCTCCTCTTTACTTCCTCGCCATAAAGCTCCTCCGCCTCCTGCATCACCAATGTTACGTATGCATCGTAACAACCTTCGCCCGAACATTCACATAGCAGAGCTAACTTATCCCTCGCGTACTTCTCGAATTCGGCTTTCTGCTCTCTCGTTCCCACTGGTATAGCGCCGAGGTTTTCTCCTGCGTGCCAGCTACACCTTATGCTCATCAGTTTGTACCCTTCTTCTTCTGGAAACGTTTGTGCCGCACCCAACACGATCCCGGGGGATGCGTCGGCCACCACGTACGCCGGTCCTCTAACACTACCTCGAAAGAAACTGTCTAGTATACGTCTCAGCCAGCCAAATATGTACGACATGCAGGCCGCGGACTCCACTGTCCCTATACCGCACAGGGCGGGGACCGATGACCAACCGAAGGAATCATGCACGTCTACTACTCTTGTAGGTGCCTTCTTGTGGTAGTGCAGTATTCCCACGACGACTAACACTCCCACGGCTCTCAACGACTTGAAGTGGCCGTCGGCGCAAACCGACGGCAACACCCTCACTCCGTAATCTTCCTCGGCTGACCGCAGAAAAGTTCCGACCGGATCGAACGCCGCGTAGATATTTGCTAAGGCGCAGCGACTCGTCACCACCGCCATCGCTTGGGGCTTCCCCTTAGATTGCTTGGAGGCAGTCGAGTGGAACCCAAATAATAGAGTTCTTCGCCTCCAGGAATGACTGATGAATGAAGCAGCCCAGTTGGGGTTTCGCGGAAACTCTGCCCTATGGAGTCTATTACCGAGCTGTCATAGAAACGAACCCACGGGCCTCGATCTCTTCAAGAACCTCAGCGAATGAGGTGGTGACCTTATGACTCCCACCCAAGGCTGCAAAATCGCGTTTGTTAACCTGGCGCCCCGGCGCGGCGCAACCGCGTCATTGTGACCGCGCTCGCCCTGTTCATCATAATTGAGCTGGAGAGTGAGTTTTAAAAGGATCAACGGAGCTGACAACAGAGTGCAGCAATGTCCACATCGCCAATAGATCGGTGTGGATTGATTTCTGGTACAAGGATATGAGCACGTCCCGTGCTACTCACTCGACAACTTGTTGCCAAAATGCGTTTCCCGTCCACGCATCAGGAAGGTTTCTTGAATGGCCATGTTGCAGGCGGTGCTGCAGCGACAGCACAGCTTACGTGTTCTATCCAATCACTACTATAGTGTCAATAGTATCGAGGTGATGACATTGGGGGATTGCTGCCAGCAATCAGCGATACTCGACGCTTCCATTGCCTGGCTGGTAGATGGTCTATACCTTCACTTAGCCACTAGTTGGGACCAATCCCCCGATATTTCCTACTAGGTAAGGATCTATCCAATCTGGTTATGCAGCCCGTAGTTCTTATTGAGGATTCCAGCTTGAGTGCCACTCGTATGCTTATCCATTTCCATTTGAAGCTATCTGGTACGTATGAGAAACAGTCGTTAATTAGTGTTGCGTCAGTTAAGTTAGTCAAATAGGAGTGCCGCTATTATAGCCAAGGCCGTAACGAGCTATTCCATTCGGCTCGTTCGGTGTATGGCGAGGTACGAGGCGGATTGTTGGCATTCAGTTGTCGGCATTTGACATAACAGCATCAATGCGTCCTAATCACGCTGCCCCAACGGATGCAAACTTGAATTTCATCTCACTTGAGTATCCTTACGAGGAACTGCGGCGGGCGACCAATAACTTTTCTCAAGACAACGTCCTCGGTAGGGACTCCGGATCCACCCTCCATTTCGAAAACTGCCATTGGTCTATTTACAGGTACTGGTACCTACGGATGTGTTTACCGTGGCCAACTCAAAGACGGCACTGAGGTATCATATCCAGAGTACACTTCCGCTGGCCATGCCCTCTGGTGTTAGGTTGCAGTGAAGGTGCTGCAAGCCCCGAAGGAGTCAGGTTTCAAAGAGGAGGTTAAAGTAGGCAACGACAGTGGTATCCTCGACTCTGTGGTATCCTCTCTGATTCAGGTTCTGTCTAAGTTCCGACACGCCAACTTAGTCATCCTGATGGGATTCGCCCGGAACGGTCATGAACGGTGTCTCGTCTACGAGCTTCTCTCTGGAGGTAAGTCATTGATAAGTCAGCTCTGTCATTACCAATATTGAACCTGGCTGCTCATTCGAACGCGTTTATATCAAGTGTCGTGTATAACTTTGTTGTGGAGTTAGTCCTGTAGATAATGCTTAATTGCTGTCCATTCTCAGGTGATGTATCAAGTCGCCTACAACCTTCTGGTCACCCTTCGTTCAACTGGTATCAGCGGCTCAACGTCGCCTTGGATGCTGCCTTAGGACTAAGTCATCTACACAATGCAACACCGCGGGTCTTTCATCGAGACATCAAGGTAAGACTGTATATCAACCTCGATGAATTTACCCTTGGAGTGATCGAATACTCGGTGAAAGAAATTGGTTCGTGTGCTGTGCACTATCGACGTTTCACCCTCAGACCCAGAACATCCTCCTCGATAGGAACGGCTCAGCCAAGGTTGCAGACTTCGGTCTTGCGTGTCTCGCCGAGCATCGCTCACTGGGCCACTTCAAGGTCCAGCAGTGCTCAGGTAGCTCGATGGGCTTGGTATTGCCAGAGCTAGTCCCATATTAGGAACTATCGGCTACGCTGATCCAGCATACATCAACACCTCGGTGGTAACTGAGAAGACCGAAGTCTACAGGTAGGCAGGTACAACCACTTTACCATTTACTGCCGAAGCTGTAATGGATGTGTACTCGTCGTCATCGCATCTTTTGGTGCGGTCAGAGTACATTGAAAGTCTCTTGAAAGTCCCTTCGTTGAGAACTTTCTGGCAATAAGCTCGTCTATGCCCGACGCGTTCACGCAACCCATTGGGGATGACCAGTAGATGTTCGTTATTTGTGCTGAATCGCAAGTTCGCTGTACAACGCATGCTCGATTGATTTGGTTTACACTGATAGTGTCATTCGATAGAGAAGGATTATGTCGTCTTGTCTTAGCTTCGGCATGGTATTGATTGAGCTCTTGACGGCTCGGCCCCCCGCAGTACAGGATCCCTCAACGGGACAGATACTTTACAACTTTCAGAATGTGAGTGCTTCTATTAGTACTTGGCTTCCGACTGTGGTGAAAATCAGGTGCAAGTAGATGATAGTGCTCGGGTGGCGAATCAACTGGACCCGCGAGCTCATTGGCCTCAGCATTCAGCCATCACTGGAGCTCTTATTATGCTTGCATTGAGGTATTCATGTCATCCGAGTACGTCGTTCGTACTCTCACTAGGTGCGTCGATCAACGTGAGCCTATATCAGCATCTAGGCCCCGCTTTGTGGACATAGTCGCTGAGCTTCGTCATATAGTGCGTCAGGCTGAGCAGGTAGGATGTGTCGGTGATTTTTAACGAGCGGCAATGTATCAACAGGTACGAGGGGGAGCTGCAATATCGACACCACCATCCGCAGCACAGCGATCGAGCTCTACTCGATCGCCTACACCAGCTGATGCACCGCAGTCTGAGGTGAGTCCTCGAGGCTTCCATTGGCTAAGCGATAACCGCCCAGCCGTATGATCTTGCTGGGATAGTCGAACCGTACGACTTGGCGAGTTCGAACTTTCCAGCGATTATCGGCCCTCGCAGTTCTTCAGAGGTTGCTATAGGTCTGTAATATGTCCAGGTTCGCCGCAGTAACAGTGTACAGAGACAGCGGCAGCCTCAAGACCCAGGCGTGGTGGTCTATCGTCGTGAGGTCCCTGGAGAGAGGCGGGCGGGGTATGTTCAGCCGCCGAGAGCATTCGCGGGGGCGTCCTTGTCGCCGCAGTCACAGTACAGAAGGATTCTTCCTCACAATAGATTTGAGGCCAGAGGGTAATAAGTTGTCCATCAGTAGCTCATCTCGATAGCACCATCGATCATGGGGGCATCAAAATGGTTGTAGTAGTAGTAATTCTCCGTGAAGCTTAACATAGCTGCAGTTACTGATAGTGCTAGGACATTCTGACATCACTGATTGTTGAACAATTACTGCTTGGTTTCTGTCAACGTGGTTTCCAGAGAGAACAATGACAGGGTGCTATTTAAAGAGGCTCTGTACCGTACCGTTAAGTGCTTCTCTAGAGCACGACATAGTCTGCATTTGGACGGTTTTTTTGAGATGTCTATGAACAAGCGCTGCCCTCTCTTAGTGGTTCGATGGCTGCAAACGGTGGCACTTGCTCCAGTCAAGTTCCGGGCCATATAGTCTCTCGTGGAGGCGTTGCTGATACTACTCCGTCGAGCAGGTGAGGGTAACTGATGTGGCCATGACGATCTCGTTAATCGACCCGATAGCAAACGCTTGAGTAGTCTAGTAACAAACGTTGGGTGATTGTGTGGAAACTGATAGGACTGCTTCTTCATCGTTTCGGGCACAGCTTGTATGGAGCGCTTTTTCTTCTTGTTGTTGTTGTTCAGTGCATCGAGCACACCTATACAGCAACACAATAAGATAAGTCCTGCATCTAGTTCTCGCCGAGGAGAATGCGGGGAGGCAGGAGTACGGATGGCTCACGGCGCCTATCAACAGCAAAGCACCGCTGATAAGTCTGTCAATGTATGTATGCTGGGATGACGATAGGATCTCTTAGTGTCGGTGGAAAATATCTTCAGTGGGCTGTATTCGACTGTGGCACGAGAGCTCAGCTCGCTTTCAGTCATCGTGTCGGGTAGTTGTGGGAGGCTAACTTAGTCTTAGATGTTGAAATATCACAACCAGATCATCTCCTCCGAGAGACAAGCTAGTAGATTACTGCTGCACTGCACATGAGTCGATCTACTTTTCGTAGTCTCCCTACGTCAACGTTTCAGGATTCGGTGTCGTACCATCGAATGGAGCATGTGACCATACGTCCGCGGGCATCGCCAGTAACCCAGCCGGCGACGCCACTGAGTGTTCCTGAGTGAGAGACGATATTGGAGGGAATATGTGAAGATTCGACGTGTGTTCAGCCACTCCTTGGAGAATAGTGCATTCCAGTTCAACCATATGATCACTGGGTACGATAGATCCAGTATACAGAGCCAGACCATACCGGTAAGCAAGTTCATCTGTGCCGAAGACGCTCTTGTCACTTATTCCTCACCTTTCCAACGAGTGCGCTGTGAATAGGAAGAAGGGTAGCACTCATTGTGATAGTCGTATAAGCATCATTATGCTCTCCAGTTGTTCCTATTTCTATACCGTTACTCCTACTACGCGCGATAGTGAACTGTTTCAACTTGTAATCGTTCTCAGGAAGAGAGTTACTCGAACTCATCAGACATGGATCCAGAGCTTGCAGCAGCGGTTGCTCTGTCCAAACTCGAGTCGCGTGACGGCAATCGGTTCTATGTGAGCATCTCTGATGGAGGCTAGTGAGGGAGGGTGTCCACTCAGGATGAGGACCCGATTAGCATAGAGAGTCTCAATCGACTGACGGACCGGGATAACAAGGCGAAGATTGAGCAAGTGAGAGCTTATTATGACGGTGCTGCTTGTCGAACTCATAGTTACACTGTCACAGGTTTGCCGTGAGTTTGGCTGGCCTCACGAGCAAGTTGCCCAGGCTTTCAGAGTCAGAGGAACTGTAGACGCTGCTGTTGAGTACATTCTAGAGAAGGCATCAACGGCTGACAGTGTTGACAGAGCCCACCAGGCGAGCAGGATTCGCAGATGAGGAATGTCGTAATACGGACGATTAGTGGTTGCGGTGAAACAGGGTGTTTAGCTACTCAATGAAGGCAGTCTTATGTGCAAGGCCGAGTAATAGAGGAGAATCCTCAAGATAATTAGCAGTCTAGTTTCGTATTGCCTTCACTTTGGAGTCTGTCAGTAAAATACGAAAACATGTACAGACAAAGTGGCCTTGTTGAGTTCGAGAATCAACTCCATGGAGGATACGATAGCTGTGCCATAGTCTCCACCTCAACAGCAGGCGAGGAAAGGTGACACCGTTCTGCGCCCGATGAGAATATATAAATCAAATGTTTGAAATAAATAATTGGAATAGTTTGATATGCACTGGTCGTATCTCTTCTCACTACAAATTTGATGGACTTATGCAGCTAGAGGAATCTCCCTGCGATGCTCTAGATCCCGAGGGTAGTTCTTCAAAATGAAATACTAAGCTAACACGTTCTTGATCGCTTCATTATCACTCGTCATCGGTGAGGCTAGGAACTCCTCGAGTCTTGGACAGCTCGACGAAGTGTTGTCTTGAAGCGGCCAGGAAGCTATATAATCACCAGTTGCCGACATCAGGCATGTACTGTGTTCAAGTGAATTGAATACACTCGAATGTGCTTATCATGTCTTCCTATACGTAAGGACATGAGGCTCGATGTATATATGGTTGCTCAGAGCCTGATCGATCTTCCTATGGGGGGGCTAACGACATGATGTTTTTCACCGAGTCCATACAGCCTTAGCATTGTTGAAAACTCCCTGGTTATGCCTAAATACTCTTGAAAAAATCAAGTTAATATAGAACTGCGCCATCAGTTTTGCGCATTCCTCTGACTTTCCGGCGTGTGTCCGGTTACACAACGGACTCACTTGTCTTCGTTTTCTAGATAGTTTCCATTGGTGATTGTGATGAGTATTTTTTTACCATTGACTGTTGCAATCATGCTGAGAGCAGATTTGCAACAAACTTAGTCCCTTGTTACCCTGTATATGAGAATGGGGTTTGCCTCTTCATTTTGTATCCTCTCTACTGTGTATCTTGAGCATAGATTGAGAGAGTGATGGTAGAGCTGGATCACCAGTCGGACCCTGTGAGAATTCAAACATGATGCATCATGGATGAACGAACAGTTGGTTCGAGCGACCTCGTCGAGCAGCAGCGAAAATAATTACAGTTGAAGACTCCTTCAATTCGGACTGTGACAGCGTTCATCGATGAGAAGTCGTGTGTGTGCGTTGGCTCCTTCTCTGCTTGTTGTACTCCATAATTCCCAGTTGGATTGCTCCACGTTATGAGCTCTGTCGATTCGCCCGTGGCTGAGATGTCTGCTGTTGTGGTTACACCACCGAGCATTCACAACTGTGAAGGAGAGGACTGTGCATCTGGACAGAGGAATTGCAGTGGTGAATCAAGTGGGTGCATATGTTGGACCGTAGACGCTTTCTATTGAGGCGCTCGAGAGCCCTTATAAGAGCTCTTGAACAGAGTTCGTGTGGGCCTCACAGAGGCTCTTTGCTTTGCCCTCAAGGTACTCGCGGATCCGCGTCTTCTGTCGGCTCATCGGTTAGCAAGGCGAACACAACGATCGGAGCTACACCGCCCTTACCGCGGAGATCATGCCTGGTGGAAATCGAGACACCGCCCCCAGTGTGTATGTATCGGGCTACCGAGAAGGACGTGAGCGATGTTAGGAGATGCATTCTTGCATATTATAGGTGGGGATATTATCCATTCGCTTATGACAGCTGACGATGTTTCTGTACACTTCTGTGGAGAAGATCCTCCAAAGCACAGTGAATTTTTAGTGGATCTCCAAGTCCATTAGTTGCCGTTTTTAAAATATTGAGGCTCAACTGGGATGTACTACACGGGGCTCATCGACACCCTGCGTTCATCGATCAGACTCCAACGTCTTCGAGGTCAGCGGCCAACTAGAGCAACGATGAACTACATCAACAGCCTGGGGCGTTCGGCGTCTGATTTCACCATGCGCACCCCGTCATCACGCATAGCATCAGGGAGTACCGTCATGAGCTATTGCTGCAGTACTCCTGGGAGCCCTCTCAATGGCGTCGTAGCCGGCAAACCTCCTAGGTCTCCCCCACGCACTACATCTGGAGACACGAAGCCAGTTTACAATCTTTCCTCTGCGACCAGTAGCGCTTCGTTGTCCCGAGAATTCTCTCGTTAAACAATTACTTACTCTAGAGGTGATCGATTCAGAGCGTAGAAGTAGCAATTATTTGGTTTGGTCTACATCCTCAGCAACGACGTCGCTGAGAGGTATCAATCTACTATCACTTTCCAGCGTCTATTTCGGGTCGCTAATGGGCAAGGCTATTTTTTACCCCAAGTTCTGTTGGAATAGAGTCAAGGAGGGGGAGTGCTCACGACCTGTTGTTGTCAATGATGCTGGTCGAGTTCTATTTGTCGTGAACTCTTTTGATCAGATGTGCTCAGGCGCACATCATCACGGATCAGTCGATATCGCTTTTTGAAAATTTTGCTAAGCGTTCTTTCCTAGGTCTACAGTTATGTTGTCCGCCGCACTATGCATCTGTTGGTGACGTCTTACAATTTTTTCGACTTAGTTTTCAGAAATGTCATTAGAGTGCCCCCCCGCCCCTGTACCCGAAGATGTGGGGTTTTTTGAATGATGACTAGATGATGTTTCTGCTTGGAGGTGTGCTCGCTACTTAGCTGAGTATATTTCTTTTTCGAGCGTCCCTTCACTATTGTTATCTAGACCTCAATTTTTTCATTATATGGCTCATTGCCTTGCCACTCACATAACGCTGGCAGAATCAGTATCGCTCATTGATCCCCTCTACCTTGGTTAACGCCTATATTTAGCGTACTAGCATCATAGCTGTAATTTTTTGTCCATAGATCCGAGTATCTCGAGTTGTCGTTTCAATGGTGGGATTGCAGCCTAGCTACGACCGGTCTCAGACCATTGTCGTGGTTTTGGCTTCTGAACATACCTAGTGTATTCAAATCGCAGTCCCCGTGGAAGTCGACTTTCGATTGTCGTTCCAACCATCGACAAATGCACGATGTGGTCTCTTGTATCGCGCATTGAGGATAGACTCGCCTCTATCTTGTTGATAACACATAAGATCAGGAAATTCTCACGTCGGCTGATTCAACCTGTCTTACCGCTAGGCATGTTCTGCCGTGACACTTTGACCATGTATCATGTAGTCTTCGTTGTGGTAATAACTTGGTATTGCATCCTTGTAGCAATGACTGGTGCAGAAAATGGAGTTTTGGGGGCTTTGAGTGGCACTGATGAGGCCAGGCTGATAGTGGTGAAGACTGCACTAGTGTCTGTCTGTGACAAGGCAGGCTTAGACGTCTTGGGAAATACTTGGCAAGCTACGGTGTCAAGGTGAATCCGGCGTTCTCTCTCTCTGGATTCATCCGAATAGCGTTCTCTAGATACTCTCCACGGGAGGAACCGCTAAGAAGATGGAGGAACTGGGCTACTCCGTAATGGATGTTAGCGATTATACCGGAAGCCCTGAAATCCTGGATGGGTGAGTTAAAACCTTGCCTTATGTAAATCCTAAGGTAAGCCCAGCTGTCTCAGCGTGCGCCCGATTGCTGGAGGACCTCATTCTTCAGCGACCTCGAAGCCCGATTTCAAGAGTGTACTTCTAGGTGCATGGGGCATTGTTGGCAGTGAGAGGTAAAGCTTCCCATGAAAAGCAGCTACTCGAGCTCGGGATTGAGAAAATTGATCTAGTCGTTGTTAATTTGTATGTTCAGGATCCAGCCGTGTGATAGCATGTACAGAATCTTTGTTTAAGTATTGCTTGTTGAGGTATCCTTTCGAGACTGCAGTTGCGTCCCTTGGGTCGAGCTTATCGGCTTGCATCGAGAATATCGACATCGGAGGTCCGTGTTACACGGACCGTGTATGGTGAGCTATCTGGGGAGAGCCACACAAGCACTAGGTGTTCACTATATTCTGGCGATAAGCTTGTGTAACAGATTCGAGCTGCTGCCAAAAACTCTCATGGCGTTTGCGTCATCACCAGTCCTTCCGATTACGACGAACTAGTCAGAGAGCTGGCAACTAACAACGGGTAACACCTGTGATCGCGTTTCTCTACGATGTTAGGATTGCCTGAGTCAGGCTTACCAGGGGCATGGTATGCAAAGCCTTCGCGTTAACAGCGAGGTGAGAAATGCAGAAAATTAGCAGCTCCTTGTTTCGATCAAGGGACCTTTGGGTTATGAGCCCAACACGCTATCCACTGCGCCAAGCTGCTGTTATGGTGATGTTTTGTACACCTTGCCCCACTAGCCGAACATGTGTTTGAATGGGGCCGCCCCATGTGTACTCGCTTTTAACGAGTCATTAGACCAGATGAGACTCGTCAATCGCGCCGTAGATACGACAGCAAGATAGCTTCCTACATGGCCTCCCTCGAGGATTCAAAGGAAACTCTCGGGGAGTCTGTGACCCAGGTAAGCCCCACTCGCTCGTTCTGAGGGTGTTTCATCAATTGTTGATCGTCGATTGCATGGCTGAGATCGAGAGTTGTGAAGTGCAGCTCGTTGGCGGTTATGACATATACTCGATTCACTACTCCAGTTGCATTCAGGCTTTCGACGTGGTTTCATCGTTGAAGTACGGGTGCAATCCTCACCAGCAGCCAGCGGCTATGTGTAGTGCAGTCGGCAATGGTTTGGAGATGCCTCTCAAGGTCAGTTCTTGATTGGCATCGGCGTCATCATGAGACGATGATGATTTGATAGCTGCAATCCGTCACCCCATTCTAATACCAGGTTGTCAATGGGGTTCCGGGGTATATTAACCTTCTCGACGCAATTAACTCATGGCTGCTGGTCAGAGAAATGGACAAGGCTACTGGGTATGTACCGATCGTGTCTGTTTATGCGGTATACTGTACTTTGTCGCACTGTGTCGGTTCATATCACCCCATCAGGCTGTCGGCAGCAGTCAGTTTCAAGCACGTGAGCCCCGCTGGAGCTGCAGTGACCAGCACGGAATTGCGAGGTGGGTTCTCATGATAACGGGGCTCTTCAATCGAGGGCAATCCTCATCAGCGCAAGTCCATCCGTTGCTTTCCAGGTAATGAGCCTTGCATCTATGAGGTGGCTCCGTCAGCACGTGATAACTTGTCTCCTGTGGCCCTGGTGTATATACGCTCCAGGGCGGATACAGCTAAGCTCGCAACATGCTCACACAGTTTCAACTTAGTTGTTTCCACTGTCCCTCGCGATAATGGTTACGATAACCTTCGGATACATGATCTGTAGCTCTTTGTGATTTCTCGAGATGAGCTAATCACCAATATCCCCAACCCGAGTATCTAGCAGCGCTGAAACAGACTCCTTTGTTGAAACCACCTATACAAGGGATGGTGATCAAAATACGTGCATTCTCTAAACACTGTTTAGTAAACAGCCCATATATATAAAAAGTCTGCGTTGCGCCTCCCCATCACAAATACCCTAAGCTATTCAATGTCCAGGGATTCGAAGTGGACTATTTTTCTACTTCCTACGGATGATTATGAGCTCATTTATTTTCCAAACCGGAGCTTGACCGCCCGAAGATAATACTAGCATGCTTATCTACATATGGCAACGCGTATCTAGTCGGATGCTGCTGTTGCAGAAGCTCCTTCAACTTCCGAGCGTGAGTCGTCTTGCGGATATCAGGAAAGATTCTTGAATCATCAGCGGCCAAGTTCTCTTTCCTTTCCTTTAATTCGTGCGCTACGCACTGAAGTGTCTCGCACTCTACCCCCTTCGTTCTCGCACAACACTCCACCGTCTTTTGTATCAGACTATCCACGGTCTAGGGATTCCAAATATCAATAATCACGCTCAAATGATTCGTCGATCGTGCTACGGGAACATCCTTCTCCCTCAGATTCCAAGTTTCATCCAGCCTGCTTACAAATTGTAAGTTACAATACCAATGCTCATCAGCGTTAACACTTTTAGCTTGTCACTTACTGATCCAACGGTGGTTTCTGAGTTCACTATAGCTCTAACCGCCTTATCCGAGATTATTGGAGCTTCCTTAGCGCTAACACCGGCTGATTCTCTGATTTTTCGTGGTCCGGCCAACGCCCTCTTCACCAGAAGCTCATCCTGACTATCCGAATGAGGGTACCCCTTAATTACTGATAACGTCATGACACTAGTCACGTACTGAGAGATAGTGTTGCTATTCAGCTTCGGCTCAAGTGAAAGCAACGCCCTTATGACTAGCTGGACTTTGTCGGCCTTGATAGGATATGAGCTCACTTCTAAAAACAGCTTCTCTGCTGTCTTGTATTGTAGCATGGTCGATGTTCTGATCTATCTCCCCCTCAGCTGTTCGTTCAAACGACATTCTTCTTCGGATCCTTCCAACGGTTGTGCCTCCTTGAATCTTTTCATCTGGTGCGCCCTACTGATACCCTGCTGTTCCTTTCCTTCTCTCTGTCTTTACTGCCTTTTCCACCTTTTATACCTTTCCCTCTCTTGGAAGCGGACATGAATCAGGCACTCGATCGATGTTTGCAGTCGTCATGGAGTGACCAGCGTGGTCCAACCTGGCGGATCAGTTGCCGATACTGAGGTCATCGAAGCTTGTGATCAGTAGGGAGGAGTGCGTCCCATGACAATCTAGTGGTTCTAAATGGGGCTTTCTATCGAACTTGGCGCCAGGTACTCGATGACTATGGCTTTCTCCAACTTAAGGTTGTTCCACCAATAGTCTTGTGCAAGTATCATGACTCCTTTATTCATAACACGAGTATTTTATGGTTTCCTCTGTAGAGTGCTCCTTCGCGTTGGATGCGTATATTGAGCTCGAACGCGACGATAGTCTTACTAAATCACCATTGTGTCGGAGTCTCGAAATTAAGTGAAACGCAACTTGTCTACTTACAAAATCATAGTCCATAGTAGCACGTGCGCAACTTTCTCTCGCTGCGCCCCAGCGCTGTTATGAATCTGTGTTCTTGTGTCCGTGTCTTTTGGCTTATATTGTGGCATTAATTCTCCTGTCAGTGTCTGACGTCTTTCAGTAGACCTTGTGGGGGTACTATTGTAACGTAGTTGTTCCTAATATGCTCCGCAGCAGAGCAGGAATGTTAGAGCCACCAGATTGGAAGGGTTGGGGGAAATCGTCTGACAGTAGAAATGATGGTATGATGGTACTCCCGATCATAGGGTTCTTGGTGCAGGGCACATCGAGTTGAATCAAGATGACCAGGATAGGATGGCTGCTGAGTGTACCGTTTTGTGCTCGTCGGAAAACCAAAGCACGCTGAGTGATGGAAACGGAAATCTATGTAGTGTGGGTGAAATAGCTGCGCTCGCTCTATTGGGTTTTATGCTTATGATTGATGCGTCGCAGCTTGTTGAAAACGTTAGAAATGAGTCGATCATTCAATTGTTAAACTGAGGCGATCCTACGTCGCCAGAATTCCTGAATCGGATCTTCAGCCACACGGTCTGTGCAGTATTCCGTAGAGTACTGGGAACTGTATGCTTGTCTTCCGAGAATGAGCACTTCGTGATATATGCCATACTTTCCAAGTTGAGTCGCGGTTGCGTCGGGGACTGCAGCAAATCAGCCTACAGTCCCGTTGCGTGGTGTCGCCTTTCTCCACGTGTATTCTCGTGATCGTTTGGTGATGATCAGAGCGACTCCGAGCATCGGCTCGTAGCGTCCGCGATGCATAAGCGAGATACTTTGATCGCGATATCATAGTGTTCCGAATCAGGATCTGTGATATTTTCAAGTTGTTCGCAGGTCCGTTGGGGTACTTTTTCTGTCTACAATGCTTGCTGTCTTTCGCGAAGCTTAGCCATGTTAAGGTACACTGGGAGACCAGCGATTGCCATGGCAATGGGTAAGACTCTGTATTACATTCCCTGGGAAGATTTGGGGCGTGCTCCCAGGACAGGTTAGAGAAATGTCCATATGTGTTCAGAAATCGGACAAGAGCAGTGAGCGCTTCTCCAACACCATCTTCGAGGAAGTAAGCAGTGTTGCCTCGGCACTTGGTATTTATGCTATCCTCAGATCGGAGCTCATTGTGAAGAGCGAGATGGTGGATGATGAGGTGGATTACCGGCAGCCGGATGAGGATCAGCTCAGCTTGGTAGTGGTGATCGATGAAGTGTTGTACTAAGGCTTGTTCCGGACGATAGGTGGACCTGTGCAGTTCTGATGAAGAGCCGGAGGATGGAGAGGCATCCCAGGATTATGTGAGATCCTATCGTATATCGCAGGGTACAGACCGCATCTGCTCCTGGTCTCATCTGAATTTTTAGAAGGCGTCTTGTATGTATTTTGGAGGGATAGGTTCGATGTTACTATCATCGGGCCCATTTTTGTAGATTGAGCCGACGCCCCTGCGTATTCCTGTACGGAGGTGGGGCACGCCTAGGCTTGGGAAAATCGGGGAGCTCCCTGCGCGGCAGAATAACCAGTATAAAGGCTTCATATCGGGGCGCACGGAGACAAGCAGCTACAACAGTACGAGCCAGCAAGCTTCGGATGGAAGCACTTCGTCAGCCGCAGTGGTGGTGAGTCTCGTTGGCTTGTGGTAGCTATCACTAGTGTAACTCTAGTGAGGTTCAGCATCACTTCTACAATGGAACTCGCTCTACTGTGCATTTTTACTGGTTTGCTTGTTGAGAACTGTGACATGTGCGTGATTGCTGTGAACCTTCCATGTCGATTCCGAGCCTCGAATCATCGGCTTACTCTTCTATGAAGTATCATCTATATCCTATCACCTCAGGACTTCGACGACCATGCCAGCACACCCTCGACGTATTGTCCTTCGGACATCGGCTCACCAAGGGTTCCCACCTCCCCTGGATACCCGATTAGGTCGGCACCCAATCTTGGCAGTGTTGGGTTGTGGAACGATCACAAGTGTGAACGGCGCAGGGTGAGCCCCTCGAGGAAGTGGCGTTACCTGATACTCAGTCTAGTACGGTGAAAAGCTAGTTTCTGGTAAAAAAAAAATACTGTATACCTTACAGAAAATGTGAGGACCTCAGTCCATGGGTGACTCCAACTCACTCCTTCTCATATGGGGACACTCGATGGTGTTGTAACTACTCTCGTGACCTGATTGATCTTATTCATTTTCAGAAACCGGTTACTTCGGCTAACGCGATCCTGAGGCCTACCAAACCCAGCTCTCCTCCTAATCTCGCGAGAATTGGTCTGCGTGTAGAGTCACGAGGCCGCCAGACTCGCCGCCCAGTCAATACCGCTGTCGTGCTGAAGCGTGCAGCAGCCCAACAGGGTAGACAGCTTGGAGACAGGGTACGTTGGTCGTATGAGAGATAAGAGAAACGGAAGCGTTACAACCCTATAGCTACAAATTTGTCAAAGCATCAAGCTCCTCGTCATCTTTGTATGTATGAGTCCACTTGTTGGGATTTCAGTGCGACTATGATGATCCTGAGTGCCCACTGCCGAAGGTTCCGAGGGATTGGGATGAAACGGATCAGAGGTTCGCTTGTAAGGATTGTATCCAGACCACAGGGTAGGGGAGTTGCTACTAAACTATCCGACTCTTTGCATCTCGGTCTGAATTCAATAGGGACGACAGCTGGATCTGCACCCTTTGTGGGATCGATCTGTGGAGTCCAGGGGAGATCGCTTTCCATGAGACCACAAAGCGCCATCAGAAGGCAGCTGGACACAAGGTGTGGGAGAATATGGAGGCGTATATCAAAGAGAAGTGAGGCTTACCTAGCTTGAGGGCTTTCGCTGTTGTGGATTGTCTCTCAGGTACTCCAAGGACTTGAATGAGCTTGGTGTACTCGAAACAGCGGCACAGACTTTGCTCTGTAAGATTTGCGATATGCCTTTGCAGAGCTACTATGATGTAAGTACAGTGGCAGTCGGGGCGAGAAGGCTACGTCTCGTTCACATTAGGCAGCGAAGCATGTGAATTCGTCGAACCATTTCGGTTACTCTCAACACTACGCGTGGTGGCTGGATGCAAGAGCCATATTTACAGGAGGCGATGTCTCAAGGTATGCTGTCGCACGTGTGAAGGGCGCGTGAGTCGGATACTACTCGAGTTCCTCTGTTGGTAGTGATACCCAGTGGAGAGCTGTCACGACGTACCTCCTCAAGCACATGCCGGACCCTAAGAGGCTGATTGATGAGGAAGGGATAATCCCAAGTAAGACCTGCTGAAACTTCCCCCTAGGGTTGGACACTGTTTTTGGAACTTTGTATCTGCGTGCTGTTACAGCGTGCTTTCAAGAAGAGCACTGCTGTGTTGAGCGTCCCTGCCATCGTATTGATCCCCTCAGTGGATAACTCTTCGAGTATAGCCAATTGCTGCTTCCGATGTGATATGTGTGGAGCCAAGTTAGATTGTCTCAGCCGCGTACAGGAGCATGTCGCGTCTCGAGGACACTTGAAGAAGTAAGCAACCTCGTTGATGTACTCTATGACACATTTCTGCTCAGGAAAAGGTGGAACGAGTGGGAGGCTGAAGTCAGCTCTAGTAAGCGTACGCGCTTCGATTAAATTGTTCGATGCGCGATTCATCCCGAGATGCCCACTACACTCGGGCAGCACTTGTGGAATGTGAATGTTTTGGTATTGACTACTAATCAGTTCGGATGGCTAAGTCCGTTAGTTCGCTCATGGACTGCTTCCAGATGGGTTGCTCGGTCCCCAGTAATGGGTCCAGACGCTCTACCCGTTTTTCATCATTCATTTGTGTTAACTCTTGGAGATGTTGTGTTGTTTCCGAAAGGGAACCTGACTCGACTGCGCTGTATGTTGCGGTTTAGTTGCGATCGCAGTTATTATTTTGTTTCGACTCATTAGCAATCTATATATGTGGTTGAATCATCGTGAATTTGAACGGTCTGCAGTGAAGGATTGCGACAGCATTGATGGCCACGAAACATATCGGTTGGCATTAACCGAGAGCACGACCAAGCAAGCTCTGGTGCTGTGTAGGGATGGCTCCTCGCGAGAGGTGAGTTCAGTGACTTATGTCTGTGCTCATACTAGTCATATTGTCTCTTGCTTGGTAGATTCCGTATACAAGGCCGTCGGCTACACTTCCGAAGGTACCGATGAACTTCTCAGAGGCAGATGAGCGGTTCGCCTGTAAAGACTGCTTTTTTGACCGTGGGTGAGTCCAGTCTCAAGGCGTGATTGTGAGCATGTACCCCGAGCTTCCGTGACTATTACCTTCGCGACGTATCGAGCGGACAGTAGCCTCGCTGTTTTAGAAATGATCACTTTGTTTGCTTACTGTGTGACGTGGAGTTGTGGGGCGAAGCTGATCTCCGTTTCCATCTCACCACTCGGCGCCATAAGAAGGCGGCAAGGAACAAGGTTTGGGAAAACATCGAAGCTTTCATACGGACGAGGTAATGCGTATGTAAAGGTTTACACTGGGGAAGCAGCGACATCGCCCTTCCTAGCGGCGATCTAGGAATTTGATTTATTGGTGGTTCTAGAGTTGGAAGGAAGTCTTGCATCACACGTTCTTCACATCCGTGAATTTGCCAGCTTTGCGTACCTTGCTGCTATGCAGGGCGCGGGTAACTACTTTAACGACCTCAGGTTCGGTGAAAGTCTTGCTGAGCTTGGTGTTATTGAGACTGCAGCCGGAACGTTAAGATGTGTGCATTGTGAGAAACCGTTACAGAGTTACTATGATGTAGTTTGTCGGGTAGATCGGCACACTCGTAATCACTATTCTGTTTATTAGGCTACTCTGCACGTGAATTCGAGAAACCATTTCGAATACATGAAACACAGTTTCTGGCATCATGAGGCTTGGGCAGTTCACAACGGAACACGCTGGAGGTCAGTTGGGTCTCCCGCTCCTTATCGTTCCTGCGAAGGTTGGTACTTCAGACGGAGCGAGGTGGCAGCGAACCTTTTGCGCGACATGCCGGACCCGTGTGAACTGATGGAGAGACAGTACATTATCCCCAGTGAGACTTGTCATAGTCTGTGTGAATCCAACGCAATGAGTGTTTCGCTTCTCATCAGCTCATGATAGCCGCTTCGTTTGCAATCTATGTGGAACTCTACTTGACTGCGTTGATCGCGTGAAGGAACATGTCAATTCCAAAAGGCATAGCAAGAAGTAAGCCAGACGACTTGTTTCAACCCTTTCCGAAAGGGGAAGAAATCAATGCTCATCACAGACTTTGGTGGAGGCAACATGAGTGCAAGCAGCGATGATATGCCCCCGCAGCCGTTCATGTTAACGCAACTAACATGGCTCTGGCATGAGCAATCTGTGAAGGCTCGTGCCAAAGTCCATGCGTCGCCAGAACTTTTTGGATGCGCTTCGTCCATCCCTAGCATATGCTAGTATCGCGCATTCCCTTACCAAATCTACATTACTCATTGATGTATACATAATTCTCGTTGCGTCGAGTTGACCATAGCAGAATGACGTTACAGGGGTGCTCGGGAGCTTTGGAGAGTAATCCCTTTATAAAGTTATAACGCGATGCAAATGAGTGAATATGCATCGGGAGTGTCAACACTAATTTTTTCTATTGATACATTTTTATGGGTACTCTGCGATGTCGTTTGTGTTGTTTTTCGAACGAATTTTCAACTGGAGGGTGGACCTTCTTAGCGGCACAGCACAACTCGTACCATCATAATATAGCACAACGCGTCTATACCACAGTAATGCGATCTCATAGTCGGAACATGATAAATCACGCTACTTTTGCGACGCTACATGTGCGCGCATCGAGGAAAGTTGAAGCTCATATCGCTTTTCACTCCGCAATGAATCTTAGGAGCGTGAAAGAGGCTCAATCATTCGGGTGTGTATTAAAGACACAACGGAAGTTTGTATCATCATACGCGCTGAGGATGGTGCGCGCTCTGAAGCGGCCAGCACGTGTAACACAGGAGAGGAGGATACGTATTTCATCGAAACTTCCAACCGTTTAGGTGGCTTGGAAATTTTACTATCACTACTTGTAGTACGCAACTGCAACCTCCCTAACTAGAAACTAGAACATTCATTCACTCTTATCAGCTTGTCGTCTACTCGAACGTTGAGATTCGGAAGTTTCTTTACCAGTCTTGAACGCGTCCATCAACTGCCCTTTTTCGGCAAGCAATCGAAGAGCTGAGAAGAATCAGAATCCTATATCTGTACCAGCAGGAAGTATCCTTCACCTGTGAGCAAGAAAGGTGTGTAATCATGACGTCGCCTTTCATTCTCAGCCTGAAACACAAAATCCTCCTATATCCGCTTGCTTCCTCTGCTCCTTCGCTTACCTTCCACTTGGCTCGAATATTTTGCTCATTTTCAAGTTGAGCCTTCAACTCGACCACATCAGCAGACGACTCATCCATCGCGGTCGAAAGTCTACGGCACATATCATACTTCGATACGATCAATATCGCCACTTACTGATCTATTTGTTTGCGGAGGGCTTTGATTTTATCCCCACACACAACCATGAGGTTGAAACGAATTTCGTCTGCCTCTGAAGTTTTGGAGAACTTAGCGATCTTTTCTTGAACGTATTTCAGTGCGTCCTTCGCCCAATCACTGTCGGTGGCCTCCAAGAATACAGGCCCACCTCTGAGACCGTCCAACTCATACAAGCCACCCTAAGAAAGCAATCGCTGAGCTCGGCTTAGACGGTTCTGAGTGCCCACCTGGAATGGAACATACGCAACGAAGTGGAATGCATCTTCTTTCGGCCCTTCTTCCCTCTGTTCCTGGGAGTAGACTTCAACCAGTGATCGAGACGTACTACCGGCTAGCTACTACCACGTCGAAGCTAGCCTGTGGTCGGAAGGAGTTGTGCGCCCTTCGGATTTCCTCTGAGTTCCCAATGGCCCACCCTCGAGTGTCCGCATCGAAGCCAGCACTGCAAGAAAAGACAAATATATCCTCAAGCTACGTCTCTTAACAGTAGAGATTCCTCCTAACCTCCGAAATTAAGATTCTAAACTGATGTTGGTGTCACATCCCTCTTACGTGAAGTCCCTTAGATTGGTGAGGACCTCGCCGATATCCAATCCTTCAGCATTGAGTAACACCTAATAAATTCTGTCCCCCCATGAGTGTTCACACGCTCTGGCTACCGAGAGAATGGCTTGAGTTGCGCATGCATTGTTAATGACTTGCGACGCGTAGAACATTCCATCTGGTGGGGGCACCAAGGGAGTTCCTGAGATGATCCTAGAGGGCTGAGGGTGAACCTGGGTAAGCTCACTTTTATCTTCTACTTCCTTGTCCCATTTGAACAGAAATACTAACCCATATACCGGTACATTGGCACATCTGAGTGAATGTTGATTATACAAATTATCAGGAATCCTCTGGAATCGCATACAAGGATAACCAGTCATCTAGAAATAGCTGCTCATGAGATGACTCGAATCAGATGCAGTTCAGCGACCCAAATAAGTGCAGCTTGGACTCAGTGAGCTTTAATAAATGTCCCGACATTACTCCAACTTGAGTGTATCCTCATCAAGAGAGTAGAGTTCCTTAAATTGAACGTCCTTCACACCAAGGTCATCACAGAGCTCAGTAAAGACTCCTGGGTCCGACTCGATCGTGCACCACCCGTTATTGGCTAAAACCAGTGGTCAATCAATACCGACACTCATACCACAATACCGTCTCCTGCTGCTCCAGCGTCCATTCGGGTTACGGAAGAAAACACTAGAACAGCAATGAAAAAATGTCATAACGGCGATGAAACTCAAGAGGAGCTCTCGTCAGAAACACTTTGAACATTCCAACATGACTCGCTTTCACATTTTTGGCAGTTTGCGCACTCGCACGTATTTCGGCGCTATCTGGTTTCCAGCCATTTCATGGACAGTCCTCTCGAACCAAGTATACCTATCCAGGCGTGAGCCCCCTACACCATCCTTAACCCTACGGTTTCGCAGCCCTAGTCTCTCTCCTATACTCCTCCACAAGAGCGTCCATCCCCCTCAGTGCTTCCGCTGTCTTGGCTTTCCTATATTCTCGGCGGAACCTACGGAACGTCAATGACATTGATATGATCGGTACCCCCCTCTGGGATCATCAACTAGTAATGGTGAACCCTCACCGTCGTTCAAGTCACATCAAATTCAACAGTTAGAATTTCCCTAGGGATCTTCGACCTCCCCTTATTGTTACCATCGTTTATTGCCCAGAGGCTCGCGGTCCATAAAGTGCTTCTTCCCAGCATCCATCGCATCTTGGTCCCATATCCACGGCAAACTGTGTATGTAATATTGCTTGCGGACCTGCCCGAGTAAGACAGAGGTCTTCATCGCACTCTTCTATAGATCCATTACATCAGCAGCGTATCGACCCGATATCCTGGGAGGATGCCACTCGCCCAACTCATCCTTATAAGGAAACAAGTCCTCTGGAATGTTATACCTGGGCAACAAGACGGTACTGTGCACTTCGGAGGCTATGCAAGTGATACGGATCAGTCTAGTAACTAACTCGATACGAGCTAGAGAAGGTTTGGAGCGAGAGCGAATACGATACAATATAAATGCTCACAGTTGGTAGCATAGGTTAATTCTGCCAATAAAATTAGGAACTTGAGGCTCCTCTCGATGATCCATGCCTTACATTTTCCTTCCTCCTCTTAACGACGTTTTCCTAGGATCCCAGGAGCTGTTATCACGGGAATCCCAATAGTTATACATCTGTCACAAGAATCTGCATCCACGCTGAAAAATCATATACTACATTTGTTTGGTAGTTGTCCATCTTAACATACGGATTGAAAACTTGCCGTACACGTATGCCGTCAACCAACCCCTCCTGGTACTCTTGACGAGGGGTACCTTCGGAGACCAGATGCCGGATCGAGACTCCCCTGTCAATCTCGGTTTATTATAAGAACAGCGACTATTCTAATCCAGGAGAGTGGAAGTCTTTAATGAAGTTTAACAACAACCCGAAACATATACGTCTTGCTTTCCCATGACCTCTACATGTCATTACCCTTGCATTCATCCATGTATTTAGGTTCCACAATACGTCTATCGAGGATCTCCGACCGAGGTTGCCACGGGACTTCTCTTATCGCTCTATCCAGAGAGGAATTCATACAATTTGGAGGGATAGGCCGGAGGCAGTCGAAATTGAGAGGATGGCCAGGGTAACTAACGAGTAAAGACAGCTCCAGCGACACTCAGTGTGAGAGAATATGACAATCAAAACATGAGACTACCTCTGTCTGCCGTCATATCCGATGTAAGGTGACTCTGGGAAATTGAGCCTACCAAAAACGGAAGCTTAAATCGAGCCTCACTCCCTTGAGAATTGCGGACCTCCTCACTACAACATTGTTGGTTAGTGTTTTCTTCTCCATCTTGGGGCCCTAATGAACGGATTAGTTCGGTAGTAGAATGCTATCATGGACTTACTTTATCTCTCATCCTCTCACCTACGCCTGCCTCGGACAGAGTCCTAACCTGCACTCGGAGATCCTCTATGCGACTATCTCTCTTAATCCTTTCAGCAGGCGTTAACGGACTGAAAACGAGCGTGTTACGATGCTCTAGAGCTACTGGTTCGAGTAGCAAGAGACCATGATCACATTGGAGAGTGCCATGCCAAAACTACTTTGCATTGGACAGTCGAAGTACTCCCTTATGTGTCTTAGGACGCTCCGGCTGTGGACCCTCGAGCATCCCTCTCCTGATGCTGCTGAAACCTCTTCGTTGAGTCCGTACTACTAACTTTGAAAAAGTCGGGGACGTCATGGAACACTTAGAATCTTCAACATGCCGAATATTTTTCTTTACTCGACAACAAATTACTCACGTGCAAGATTTGCACGACATTAAGGGACGGAATCACGCACGATGTGAAATCGGATTATATAAGAAGAGTGGAAGGGCTAGAGAGAAATTCAGAGCGAGTGGTGATTCAACCGAATGTACTGCATTGAATGAAGGTGACTCTGCAGGAGTCGGATAATATCGTTTGGAATGGTGGAAGAAATATGACTGTGTGATTTTTTCACGCACGATTATATTGAGCTTAGATAGTATTAGTATGGTTGCGACGACTCATACAAATGCATACATCTCCGCACTATTGAGCATCATGGGGCCATTGAAAGGTGAATGCTACCAGCTTTGGACCTCGTTAAGAATTCTTGTCAGTAGACTACTAACAATAAGTACCTCATCCATCTACTGATAGTAGTAAGTGTCACACGAACTACTGTCCGTAGATAGATGATGGCTTTATCTAGTGGATTGGAGTGGGTCACTAACGTGCACGACGCAAAAGCACATGTGTACCTGCGCGTCTCTCGGCTTTCTGTGGAGTAGTTGTGTGCGCAGTACTGTTATGTGCCAGGCCGACTTTTGTTGCATTCTGCGCACTTTTGTTGTCACAACCCCAGCGGCACCGGCACTTGTTGAACGGACAATCATTGCGGCGTAGCTGTGGAGGAAAAACCACCGTCGAATGATGACCAAGCGAACGCTCAAGACCAATTGCTTCCATACCGAGCTCTACGAAGGACACAACAGGAACTCGGAAATCGGAAAAAAACAATGTAGGTTTAATCAACGCCCAACAGCTTCTTCAAGAGCTCGAGCTTGGTCTCATAGTCCTCAGGAGTACTCACGGAGCCGTATCGAGCCAAGACCTCTGAGATGTCTTCATGCTTACCGAGTCTGGCCCACCTGGAAAGCACAAGTGCTAGTGACCACTCCGCGAATTCTGCACCGCCATAACGATGCAGGCACTTACTTGGCAGCTGTAGCCAGCTGCTCCGTCACGAATGCTCCTTGTATTCCGGGGCAGAGACGAAGGCATTCTACGAGGAGCTTCACTGTGGAAGTCTGCTGACACGTATCCACTGTTCACCTAGCTGAGAACAAAGCCTACCTGGCCCCAGCGCGCGGCCCCAACGATACAGGTCCATTTCATGTTGATATCGGTTTCTCCAAGAGCCTTACGGACTAAGGAACGTGGAAGATCGGCTGGGATGTAGAACACTGAGCAAACCTCCTTCTATCCCCTCCTCTTTTAACAACCATTTGAGCATAACACGCACGACTTCAACTTTACCAGCACTCGCAGCCGCCATCATCGGAGTAGTATGACTGTAACTCTCAGCGGCACAGTGTGGGTCGGCACCATTATCGAGTAGGACCTTGAACGAAATGCAGTCACGTTCGAACGACATTGCTTCATAGTAAGCACGAATACAGGGAGCAATGAGAGGGGCTATCCAGAATTCATCATCAATCTGCTGTTGTGTCGCGTTATACTGCAGAGTTCGTGGTAGAAGCTAGACTTGGAAGTCAGAGAAAAACGTTCCCTTGCGGCCTACCTGTGCCGTACGATGATGTCCCCATCTCGCGGCAAGGAAAAGAGGTGACTGCCCGAACCTGTTCAGTCGGTTGATCTGAGGCACGTCTGTAGGAGCTCTGCATCATGCGTCCGTTGCCTCGGTGATTACATCCCGTAGATGCTTGGGCTCAGCGCGGAGAAAATCCGAGAGGTTATCATCGTAACCTAGAGCTGCCAACGACGATAACAGAGTGTCACCTTTCCAATCGCACTCCGGCGACTGCTCCTCCAAGAACTGAAAGCATATTTATCCGATCCACGCTATAGAACTTAGTATGCTCAGCACAGTTTACTCAGTGCTAGACAATATTCACTACCGACTTCGGTATTCTTGCCATACACTAGCGAATAGAATGGGTCGTCGGGATGACGGCGGGAGTGGTGACTCTGAGAACAACAAGCGGTACTAGGAGTAACGACGAGCCGGGATCTATTTTACCCGGCTAGAAAAGGTCCTTACGGGAACAGACATCACCGAGTAGGAAGCCTGAAATTACATAGTGAGATTCGAGACTGTACTTCCCGCACTCAACAGAGGACATTTGAATGGAAAATATTCAAAGCCCCGTTAACATGGCTAGACATCCCTCGATGGCACTCCTCTTATAGTTGACAACTTCACCTCCTCGCACGAGCCACGCATGGAACCTCAAGGGCTGCGTAAGTTACGAAGCCCAACGAGGAGAGGCATACGACAAACTCAGTTCTTACACACACACCTTGCAGGTTTGCCGCCATGCCGTTGTAAGGAGGATCTAGGAAGTTAATCGACGTAGTCTCACGGACCGAGAACTCAACATGATCTCTTGGACTTACAATTCAACATGGTCTCGGTCCGAATCTTGCAATCCTCGTTTCAGAATGGGGATTGTTGTCTTTCACCTCGACGCGAGGCTGCGCATTGCCATACGATGGCCGACTGTTCTACACACGAAACGTAGGGAGTCAGTCGCTCGTTATGATACTCGCTAGAGTGGCTTGTATGACTCTTATGTGTGAAGTTATTAGCTTGTCGAGCATAATCCACTGCCTACAAGGCATTTTCAAGATCCGGATGAATCGTGAGGCTAGAAGTCGTATACTTACCTGTCGGGTAGCATCCAGTGCCTCCTTAGCCCAAATCTTGGCAGCCAGAAGGACCTCATTGTCAACATCACCGAGCTCAGAGTTGTAATCGGTGAGTAATAGCTCATGCATCATCTTCACAGTTTTACGATCATCCCAATGCTTATACTCATTCCGACCAATACCTGATACCAATCAATCTAGCCTCGGATACCTTCGTAGGAGGAGATAAACGGACGATGGAGGGACTCTCTCAAAGACAATAGATTTCGCTCTCAAACACACAAACCTTCATCAGGAAGTGGAGTATACATTTACAAAAGGAACAGAGGATGGCAGCACGCCATACCAGGAGGATGAGTATCAGGTCGCGTCGGCGAACCAGCATGTCTCCCCATCCTGTAATGAAGCCCCAGCTGTAAGATCGTCGCTCTCGTGCTGGGTACACTCACGAGTAGGCCTTCGATAGTCTCATCCTAGAGAGAACAGTAGGTATAGGTCCACTGTAATCCCCTTGAACGCCAGCTGAAGCTGAAACACTGGGAAGTGTTCACGAGATGGACTCTCTTCGAACCTTTCTGATGATTCATCAGCCCGGGGAGTACACCCGAGGGTTCGTGACTCAGTGGACACACGTGGATTGTACGTGAGGTGAAACAACACTGAGACCGAACAATTTGAAAATGATGAGGATTCGAGAGGCTTCAAGTGCAGAATATACACAGATCATATTGGAACAACCGAAGTTGAAATCTATCATAGACTTCGGCATGCCCTTCTCCCTCACAAGCTGGTATAACTTGGCAACACGACAAGACGTTATTCGACACTGGTAGAGTATGGGATCATATATGAGCGTGCTCCACTAGCAGTAACCCCTCTCCATCCGACTGGCATGGCTCATGCTGTCCGTCTTCACTGCCTTGTGTTAGGTCGTTATTATCACTTCCGTCCATGGTCAATGTTACGAAAAAGGGGATGCTGTTGAAGGCAGTGCAGACCAGTATCAGTGGTGTCAAGTTGGCGAAGTTCTCAGATGTTACACCAAGCACCTGGGGGAGGGGGCGATTGTGTGCAACCAAGAGAGCTGATGAAGGATTCGAACTGGAGACTCCATGTTCGCTGCCCAAGGATGTCATAGCAAAGGTACTTCAAACTCAACGGTCGAGTCGTCTAATCGCCCTCAACCTCGTTTATCACTCAAATACACCCAGCGCTGATGCTCACGAATCTTGTAACACGACCTAGGTAGTTTATCTGACCATTTAGTCCTGTGATATCTAGTAGATACTGTATGACTAAGTGGTCAATGAATTTGAGTCCGCATCCAATGGGGAACTACCCGATAGCGTGTACAGACTTACGTTGGTGACCTCAGATGAAACAACAGAGCTTGCGAGGTTCAGGGCTTCAATACCAGAGGAGAATATGGCAAAATAGACGCCTGAACCTTCCTTGGGCGCTGACTTCGCCAGTTGGGTAGTTATGGGTAGATACGTGAGCACGGAGCCCATCTCTATAAGAACGTGTCTGTAAGACCAAGGAATAGTCGACGGGCAAGAAGAGTCCGGACCTCGCGAGCGCGACTCGAATTGGGTCCAATCGACCCTCGAATGCAGGAAGAGTGAGGAGCAAGCTTGAAGCCGCTACGGGCACGGACACCCATGATACCACCTTCATCTGAGACGGACAACCTGATGTACTAGGAGCGACGATAATTGGGAAACGTATAGCATCCGTCTCTCGGCATCGATCGAGGCTCACTATTTTCGGCATCGTGACTCTTCGTGACAAGTAATTCCTATAGAAGATGGCAGCGGCGATAGAAGCCAGAGAGCCGCATACTTGGAATCTCCCCATGACTTCTGGTGTAAAATGCAGAGCTGGAGAGGTCTAGACAGAAGCATATGAGGCGCGTCAGCTGAGCTCCATATGAACGACGGCTCCTTGGAGCTATAGAGACTCGGTGGAAGGTTTACAGTGAAGGGATCGGTATCCAACAGAGGCACTTACTGAGTAATAGAACAGCGCTGTACTGTAGGAGGGTACCATGATGGTAGCAGCCAGAAGCTTCAACGGTCCACCGAGGGAAGCAGCACCGCTGAGTACCGACTCCAATACGAGTGACTTGGGCAGTATAGTGGGAGGTCTTGAGTGGCTCATTGCTTCCTCTTCCATGAGCATTGCCGCTCCCGTAAGCAGGAGGGGACCAGTCGCTGAGAATCGTATCAAAGTCTGGCAGCTCATTACGTGGAGCAATGCTCCAGAGAGGTAGGAAACCTGAACGCGTAAGTGAAACGTGCTGATTCACTAAGGCAAGCTCGCCGCGGACGTCCAGTCTCAATGTGGACAATCCAAGAGGAACCTCGGTGAAGCACAAGTTTAGCACGTCACAGCTAGGCTGGGTAATATGCGGGGGGAAACGGCGGTCTTAGCGAGTTCATACCGAGAGAGCCCCTCCGGTAGCCAAGATGGACATGTCCGAAATCAAATCGGCTCCACCTGCTTCACCGCGATTACTAGTCTCCAACTGAAGGGCAACTAAGTGATACAAATCACACCGATGAGATGGAATGGAACTGGAACTTCGGAACGTCCGTATATCGTCCCGCCAAATGAAGATGGCCCTTGCGATTCCACGTTGAAGTTAGAGAGTGTCCAGCGATGGTTAGCATCGAATATCAGCAATCCTCGAATTCTCGCAGCTCCCGCCCGCAGTCACTATATTATTCACCGATCGAAACGACAGTATCTTACCATCAACGTGTCCTTTACAGTGACAACTACTGCACCAGCAGAGGAGATTGCCAATACTATCAGTGCGATGGGCACGAAACTTGTCCCTGCCGGCAGATGAGCCAGCGCGATCAAGCTTATGCTGTGCAATGCCGAGCCCAGAACCTTCCACAATCGGGTCGAACCGCCGAGCCGAACTGTACCCTTTACGAGGTAAGGCTTCCGTCTGTAGCCCATAAGAGGAAGGTAGTCCGATGCCACTGCCACTGCGGGTTTGAACAGCATCGGTATGGACGCGATAGCCCCAAGCAGCGCTGAGAAATTGCACGATAACATACATCACTTGCCACGTTGGTACCAGTCTCCGCTGGATGAAGGTGCATGACGTCTTTCAACAGGAACGGTATAGCCAGTGATGTAATCGAGCCAAGACCGCCAATTAAAGCACAGAGATAGAGATAATCCTTCGCCGACAAGGCGGGCAGAGCTGTCCAGTCGTACGGCCGGGAAGCTGACGAGACAGTGTTAATGGACCCCTCCTCGTGCACTCTTTGGATCGTCTCTTGAGTACCAACATCCTGCTGGGCAGATCCTCGTCGTCCTGACAACCGGAAGACTCCGTATGTCAAGGTTGAGTACATTAGTAGGGCTTTGCTTCATGGAAAGTTACTAATCTTGAAGATTACGAGTACAGTAAGACTTTAGAACTATCTTCCATTTCTACCACATAGACGTCATCCAAGGACTCCGACTACAGGGAAGCTAGGTTCACCTCGTCTGTGTAAGCAGTTACTGCCAAGCAGCGGTCCCATACGTAGGAACATCGTCTCAACAACAGTCCAAGAGCGACTGCAGCAGCTGGGCGAGGTCAAATTCACGAAGACGAAACTGTTCCTGAAACACACAAACATGAGACTCGTGTGATCGAGAGCTACGATGCGTTACAGGTCTGATTGGCTCCAGGATCTCACATCTCTAGTCTGATTGGCCAACTTCATGCTGCTATTCATGAGCGTGATGAGAGTTTACCCATCTCTGGTAGAAAAAAAATAATCTGGCAAGCACCGTCATACGCCCTCGATTCCCTCGCATCAGAGCTCATACAGCCAAGGACAGGCCAATCTCCCTGTACCCTGAGTATCGTACTGGGCTTGATGACATCGGGGGCGAACATGACCGACTAGGACGGAGCAAGCATGAGGGCATCATGACGAGGGCCTACTACCATCTCGATAAGGACTTGAGCCGCAGACCGGTACAATGGAAGTTCTGTATGCCGTCAATAGTCACTGTCAACTCAACCAAGAGCCCGAGGCAAATACTTCCTGAGTTCGAAATGTCAATTAATAGCATCATCTGAAGGCTTCCTCGCCAAATCAAAACCATTGCCTCTATGCGATGAACTGACCATCGACGGAGTGCAGCCCTCTGGGGGCGAGTACTTCTCGATGAGAGAGCTCACACCACTACCAGACGATCCCTTCTTCTTCGGTGTCGTGTTCTCATGTGTAACCGAACTGTCTTTCGCGATCCGAGACTTGCCTTGCACCCGCTGTCTCAGCTGTCTGCATTCTTCCCTTGTATTCTTCAGCTCGCCCTCCAGCCGGGAGATCGTCGCAGCTTGCATTCTCACCTGTCATGAGATTGGAAGAACGAACTCACATTTAATCAACAATGGGACACATCCATAGCCACCAACGGAGCACACGCAGCTCACCAGCTCGCCCATTTCTTCAGTGAGTGTCGCAACCCTGCCCTCTTTCTTGCACCTCTGTTTGAGCAGATCGTTCTCCGTCTTCAGCAAATACAATTCCGACTCTAACTGAGAATGCAAACAACTGGATGGGCGCGAGCCGAACAGGTGGAAGCGACTAGAGCATATAAATCAAGACTTTCGAGTTGTTAGCTCGACTAACGCATCCACACGTCACATTCCAATGGGACGTTTCTGACGGGTCCCGGCTTGATCAGACGGTCCGATCAAACCGGGACTCGTCAGAAACGCTAATGAATGACCATCACTCAATGACATTCTATCGCCATCAAAACAGAGGAATAAACAAGGAAAAACAAGGAAACAAGGAATAACGAATATTTCTCGTAAAGGAAAGAAACTGGGATAAAATTGCAGGGCTCATGCAATGTGCCCATGACGAGTACCAAATTACCACATCCTGCAAACACTACAGAAAACTCTGCCGTTCCGATGTTGGGCTTACATCTCGTCTGGCGTGAGTCGGATAAGTCGGCTCCTCTACCAACGATTCATCCTTAGACCGATCCGATAGAAACTTATCGGCAAGTTTCACCAACTCCTCCAGATGTTCCGCAATGTTATGAGCCTCTGTCAATCTTGCCTCGGACGAGCAGTCCATCAACATGATAGCTCAGGTTATCGAAGATAACAAGTCCACTTAACACACATACATTCTATGTATCCCTCAGGCCAAGAATCGTGTGCGATACGGGGGAGTTCAACTACAACGTCGGAACGACCCAAATCCGTCTAAAGCCTCCCATATTATGCTGAACTGAATTGAATCAACTCTACATCACAAAGATAGTGAAGTAATATTGTTAGGCAAACTGCGTTGAGCACTGCGATAAATCTACGGCGGAGTTCTCTCCCATGAAAAGGAGTCTATGAGGTGAACATATCGAGTCGCCCAGTTCGGCGAACACCGTCTCCTCTGTGAATCTGGAGAGTATAGAGTTCGCAGCTCACAACACCAGGGGACTCGTTCGGCCGCTTTCCATCTACCCACGATGAGATCGGATAGTGTCCCTTACCTCAACAACGACGTGCTCAACCGACAGAGTCTGCACCACTACATAGCACAGTCCACGGTGTTTCAATGCCTCCGAACGGGGGATAAACAATCATCGGAGGAAGGGAAACTCGCGGGATGCCGCAGAACGGCAACTCGTAAAGATATGAAAAAGTTGAATGGAGCGATGAGGTCTTGCAATCGTCCGAACATCGGAATGGAACAACACCGCCGCCGCTGCATCGTGCAAGACTCATCTCAGTCAAGCCACATCCATCTCATCACTTTATCCATTGCCACACCTCGATAGACCCATGTGCGATGCTATTGGTAGTCTTGGTCCTGGTGACAACACTTCCACCGTACTGAATTCTGCCTCCTTTCTCGAGTTTAGCTTGGAATAATAATCATAGCTCGAGTATAGTGCCATCATTCTCCCGAGTAACGGGTTGTCCTGATGCGCCCTTCATCTCACCGTCAACATCAAATGCGTATTGATGAAACTACTATCTGAATTCAAGATTCAAAATTCCTGATGCACGTTTATGCCTCTCATCGTTCACCGATGAGCCTTTAGTCTCTGCTACCTGATAGACCCCTGACCGCTTGAGGCCATTGGTAGATAAGTCCTCCAGTCATTGGAGGCTCGCACCAGCGATGCCCATCACTGTTCCAAAGGAAGATTACCGGTACTCTGGGCTCCTGTCGTAAGCCACCCGACGACGGCGACTATACAGGAGTCGCAAAGGCAGCATCACCTCCATAGTGGGCAGAATGTTGAGCGACATCACCACTACGACGATGTAGAGAAAGAATGTCAGATCTGGGGTCGATGTAGAATCGAGCCACATATCAGATGACTTCACTATTTCGATGGGTCGTAACTCAGCTAAGGACATATGGCTGAGTGCCTAGGGAGATCTAGCTCCTCTACCTGAATGTCGGCACTCTCAGGGAGAAGTACATACAAGCATTACATTCCTCTTCCATGTCATCGCGGTCTCTCATGCTGTTGTGGGCTTTCGCCGTGTCATTGCTGCACAACATAATCGCCTCGTCACTCTGCGGCTCAGTCGCTCGAATGGTAGGCGTTCAGTAGAGGGATGATTTCCCATGCCGATGGAACAATTCAACTCTGTCACAAAAAAACTTAGTACGTATTGTGGCTTGCGAGGTTGCCAAGCATGGTGAGCGCGTGCCTCAAGTGTCCTCAATACTCTCAAGTGCGAAAGCAGTCATCTCGAGAGATCAATTCCATATGTCACACTCCAGCATTTGAATATCTTTTTGAAGATACGACATCCTTCCGTTGAGAAGACAACTCGACACGATCATAATCAGCGAACTACGAACCTCTCCTATTACTGGTACGCCAGCAAGGTAGAAAATACTTTCTTCACATCGCGTTAACACTCGATGCCGGGCAAAAAACCTGGGTTTTACTGTTGGTACACGATCATATAGGTACAGATTCCGGCTCGATCGCACTCCATACCAACTCTTCCCCTCTAGCCTCTACTCTGTATTGAACTTTCCGGTACGTCGGAGGCTCCCAAGGCAACTTGTCCCGTCTACGTTGAGCAACCTGAACCGAACCTGTCTTATGTATCCTGGTCTCAGGCAGTCATGGTTGAGCTCCCACTGAATACAGTGAAGAAGCAAGCGAGCCTACGCGTCGACGGCGAGTGTTTATGACTCTTGCTGGCACGAAATTGTCAGGGGTGGCCAGGGAACAAGCGAGCCCAGTTGGGCCCACATCATTGTGTATTTCGGTACACAACCGCCAGTGACGGAGGTTCATTTGATGATCATTCCCATCAAGGAGATCCACCAAACGACGCCAATACACGACTCGCGAAGGGAGACCCGAATCAGGGCAAACCGTCTTCATGTCAAATATCTGAGGAGCGATTTGGGTCGCAACAACTTCGTAGCAGGGGAAAAATAGATGAGAATCACACAAAAGGCTTCGATTACTATCCGTAGGCATCCCTACTCAGAATCCAATACTACATTATTCTCCTTGATAAGCTCAAACTTCTTCAAGCTTTCCCGGGGAAGCCGTCCTGACATGAACTCGGTGTAGATCTTCGCTTGTAGTTCCATCAGCGGGAATGGTATCTGGAAGCCATCAATCACTGTTCCATTCGATATCTGTACACACAATCCTAAATGAAGAATTTGGTCCAGAGGGACCCACAAGATAGACTCATCGCCAAGTATGAAATGTGTAATTCAGGAAAAAGATGGTTCTCAACTAGCACCAGTTGCAAGATTCATTCTCGCCGGTTTGGAAGTTCCATTATGAAACTGTGTTCAGCTGACTTAAGTCTTACTGTATGGCTCAGAGAATGGGTGAAAATAAACCTCTCTGCTGAACCTCAATATAAAAACTCCCGAGCACTACCGCTAAGCTATCATTACCACTCCCGAACACAGCCCGATGAAGGCTAGAGTTGGATCACTAGACCACATGATGAGCTCCAGCAAATCTTTAACCACATCGGTCCCGACACCCTCCAGAAAAGGGAAAGAGTACTCATAGCCCGTGCATAGGAGGACCGTATCGAAGCTCAACAGCTCGGTTCGGTCCAGTCGTTTCACCAACGTACCTATGAGCCAGCTCAGTGTACTGAGTCACTGGGATTTCACCGCGTGACTAATTGCCTCTGTCAAAAACAACATCTTCACCTTCGTGATGGCGATCCAGCACGGTGATTGACAGCGCAACCATACCTACTCTGAACAGTGCCTACCTCGAAGCTCAACAACATGAAGACTATAAGAGCGATACTATGGATGAATAGGTACCCACCTTACCAACTTCATAAGCAATATCAGCCGAACTAGGCCCAGTTCCTACTATACATACTCTGTGTCCTTTAAACGGCTCTGGCCCGTCATATGCCCTAGAATGAACCTACAAATGCGAACCTCAGGAGATAGAAGCCAAGTGAGATGGTACTACCACATTTGGGAGAGCGGTAAACTCCACCGGTATATGTGGGACATCGAAGTGACCATTGCATATGCAAACTCCAGAGAAGTCTTCCGAGACAAAGGAAGGAGCTCGGGCAGCATCTGGTCTCTGGCATTCATACTCTCTCCATGTGACTCGCCAATGGCCACGACCAGTCAATGCTGTCAGAGCAACAAGTTGAAGAGTTGTGAAAAGTCATCAATTGATTAAGCGGAACTCGCCTGATCTCTCAACACTGACGGCCTCAGCGTTAAACTTGATAAATCCTCTCAACCTATTGCTGTCCACGAAATCCTCGAGATACCTACATGAGTCCTATACAAAGACGCTCACGCCGCCTTGCTCGCTTACCGCTGCACCGCTGCTCTCGGTATGAACGATGGTAGGTCTGGTGAGAACGGGAAGTCTCGAAATTGCATAACCTCTTTGGGGAGATTAGTGTGCAACGAGTGATACATCGCACCTGGATCGGAAATTTCGGCCAGGGACGGAAGTCTACGACTGTTGAATGCACGAATGAGACAGAAGCATGTATAGGATTTCCTGACTTCAGCGCGACGCAATACATGAAGCTTCATTACGTTATCCGCGGGGTTTCCAATCAAGAAGTAGGGACCACCAGCGAGTTGCGTAATGAAGCACTGGTTCGCCATAGAAAACAACTCCCTCATGTCAGCAATCGCATGAGATCCTAAATGTCAGTTTCAGTGGATTTACTTTTTTTCACTCCGACAACTTGGCCATAATCCCAAACTCCACCAACATTAGACCGTCGTTCCAGCAGCACAACCCTCCTAAACACTGATCTAATGTGCGTCCGGGGTCAGCCAAGTGGTATTTACTCAGCCCAACCATCGTTGAGAATAGTTCGAGCCGTAGTTAACCCTCCAGCACCGGCACCGATGATACATACCGACCGAGAATTCGCCGGCATAGAGGACGGGGCGAGTGGTGAATAAAATGAGAGCGGATAAACAAGATGATCTACTGACAATCGTCTTGTGATCGCTCACTTACTTGAGAGCACTCTCTCTATCTCCACATAGATGCTAACCACACTCTATTTTAAACTAGTAGAGCCCGTCGTTTCGCACCGGGGTTCTCTATCTCGCTGACGCTCGGGGGTGTAAGTGCTATGTTAAGATACACCAGTTCAATTATGTCCTTGCAGCACTGAATCGACAACGTAGATCTATACGTCATTGGAAGTCTGAGGTTGAGATCAATCTTATACGGAGCGTGCCAGTTTCTCGAGGAAGTCACAAGATTTTCGATTTCTCTTCTAACAAGGACAGTTCCCTCTGAAAGACGAGCAATCGACACTCAATCTCAGCATCGTATATCTATCCTGACGCCTGCTCATGCTCGCCCAAAATTCCTTGGCCCCACGGTGGGTGCCAATTGAAGTAGAACACTTCGTGGAGATTACCTACTTATCATAACCAATGTCATCACCGAGGTCTTTGAGTTCTCCTGAGTCACTCCAGTCAGAGTATGAGCTAGAGGGAGGTACATTCCTCAACCCCCCTAAAGTACTCATGCTTGCCCCTAACCATTTTCTTCGGTGTACGACCATTATACGTGCTTTCTAGGACTATTGACCAGTGTCCACGTATAAGGTAGAGTCTACGTTGATTTTCTGTCATGCCAAGGGAGTTAATAGTGCCAAGTCGCTCTCTTTGGGGCACGTGAGCGGGCATGTAGGCAAACTGAATCGGCCTGCCTGCCGTACAACTGGGCAGTATAGACCCTATACTATACGGGTTTCGTAGCAGCACCATCTACTGGAAGCTAATATTTTTTAGAGCTAGTGGCGTAATTTAAGTATAAACTTCCTTCTCTCTCTACTAGCACGGACAATTTTATGCCAGTCATATACCGCCTAACGTGTTTCACGACTCGTCACTCTTCTGTCTTAGAGAGCTTCTTGGGCATTTCAGTCGGTGTAACCACTATCACCGTGGAATTTATGGCATATATCGTTTGGCTACCACCGAAGACGCTGACAACCTACCCGCGGCTGCCTTTAATCTCGCTCGCCCAAAAAATCGATCTGTCATGTAGCTCATCGCGTAGCACTTGAGAGGAAGTCTAGGCGACAGGTAGTATGGGTGCGGATGCTGACAACAATTAACCCATTGGTTCTTCGATTCATTTAGTTAGACTTGAATCTTGGGCGGTACCTTTATCGATTTTGGTGTATTCTTTCAGTAATAAAGCATGGCGGTCAAGCACAACAACGTTATCCCCAACATCCACTTCCGCAAGTATTGGCAGAAGCACATAAAGACCTGGTTCGACCAGCCTGCTCGGAAGCATCGCCGTCGTCTTACTCGCCAGTCTAAGGCAGCGGCTGCCTATCCGAGGCCTTCTGCTGGACTTTTGAGACCAGTTGTCCGTCCTCCTACTCAAAGATACAATTACAAGCTCCGTCTCGGTCGTGGCTTCACCGTGGAGGAGCTGGCCGCCGCTGGTATTTCTGTCAAGCTCGCACCCACTATTGGCATCAAGGTAATTAGGATCTCTGCTAAGTCAATATTGTCATCCCCGTATCAGGTCGACAAGCGTCGTCACAATAAGTCTAATGAGTCTCTTGCGTGCAATGTTGATCGCTTGAACCAGTACAAGGCTAGGCTTGCTGTCTTCCCTAGAGGCTCGAAGGTGAAGAAGGGTGATACTGCTCGTGCTGAGCTAGTTAATGGTACTCAAAACACCTGCAAGGTAATCAATCGATGTCGGACTATCTTGCATATGTCAGTTTTCCCCTCCTGTTAGACTATTATTCCCGTCCCTACCGCCCGTGTTGTGGAGCACGCCCGTGCGATCACTAAGGGAGAGCGCGAAACTTCCGCCTACACTACCTTGCGCCAGGCTCGCATCACGAAGAAGATGGTTCCCAAGCGTGCAAAGGCTGCTGAGGAGAAAGCAAATGCTGAGAAGTAGATTGTAACAGTCGGATGACAGTGCTCATAGGAGCTGTTATCACGGCGTGGACGTTGCTACAGGCTCGTTGTCGATCGTGCGCTTCTGGGTCCGCCATTGTGCCTTTGTCTGTTCGAGTTCATTAGTTCGTTCGCGATAAATTGGGATATCATTGGCTAGGGAAGTGTTATCTCTTCTCTCAAATGGAGTAAGACTCTCATGTCCTTGAACGATAGCCTCGACTCTGAATATTCTCTTTTTCTTTTCTGTCATAGTTCCCTGTCAGCTCATCTCCAAGTAACGTGAAAGCGTCTCTGGGAGATCCATATCTCTTTCAACGGGCCCTTGATAGGTAATAAGGTTAATAGAAGCCACTAGTCAGCCCTTAATAGGTTGACTACCACTATAGACCTCGAACTGACGGGTGAGATGGAGATAGGAACAGTATCACAGCTCAGTCGATCGATGGATCCACGAGTTGATCGCGATGTTAAGTGGTGAGGGTGGGCAACCCTTGTCCTTGAGATGAGGAACGGAGCGGGCGGATGGAGATGTGATTCGCGGCATATCCAAATTCATTTTGTAAGGCGTTCACCAGCGGATGTTAGATTGGAGTGTAATAATTCTTTGTCGTGAATGATGGGTCTGTTTTACTGCCGAGGGTTGATAACATGCGCCTTAATCCTTTAGCCACGATCCAACAGTGAATTTTAAGTCTTCAGCAGACTTCGGGCCCCGTTTTCTGGCAATCAGTAACGAGTTTTACATTGGCATAGATGGTAGATGTTTACGCCTTTGTCAGTCACAAATTCACCAAATTCAAGAACAAACTAACGTAGTGGAGCTTGTTTTTCACTGAATGAAGAATCGAACTCGAAGTGAAAACTCAATTCTCGCGCACAGTCGTAGATGAAAATTGCTAACTCGTAAATGAATGATATGTAATCGGAAAATGAGGTTCGAAAGCTCAGTTTCACTCGATAAACAGATGCGTTTCATCAACGTTGAGTAGCGCAAGGGCTACAAGTTGTAGCCTACAACACGCCGTTTTCTGAATAATATTCCACTATGGGGAGAACTGAGTGAGTGAAAATCTATTTGGCCCCGGAGGATCAGGAAAACATTGCCAAACTACATCAGTAATATCGGCTAAACGCGCTTTCATTATCCGGCTGTGAGATCTTAGATAACATCGCTTTGCTCCGGTTTGCACATAGCTGGAAGAATTACTGCGGTTTCATTTTGGTTTGTGTGATCGATCAATATGGCATGAGGAAGGGGGTGAGATTGTGAGAATCACACATGGTGAGCATTTATGTGCGTTTTGTGCTAGTAAGTGCAGAACCATTCCGATAGAACGTGGCGCGTGAAGTTTTATAAACTATCGCTCAACATGGTACAGTGCAAGTCATACGTAATAGGGCAGGTTGCTATGGAGGTGGGGGAGTGGTCTGACCTGGCGGTACTTACTATGATAATAGGTCAATCCAGCAGGTTTATGATGCCTTCATTTCTCCGAGAGCCTTCACTCTACTCTCAACTATCGCTAGTGCCTTGCTCAAGCGGTACTCTGCAGCCATTTAGCTGCATCGTGATAAGGAGGTCTCGTATACGATTGATACTGAATCAGTATTACTGATGAGTGATACGCTCAGATGTAGCATGTAACTAATTCACAGTTTGAATTTAATTACTGACTATGACGTTGTCGTTGGCCAAAAGGAGCGCTAGGAACTCAAAGTATGCAGCTTATGTCTTCGCGTAATAAGAGAGAATGTGCAACAGTCGAAACTTGGAAAGTGGGCGCACTGAGGATGATTAGACCTTCAATATTAGTAGCTTCTGTGGCAGCTTGAGTGGTAGATGGCTGATAGAGACTTTCAATAGTAAAGTCATTCATGAAGGTTTCCAGTGTTGAAGTTCTCAGTGATAGAGTCATTCATGGAGGTTCTCAATAGTACAGTCATTCATAAAGTCTTCTTTTGTTGATTCAATGCATGCTAAGAGACTGGTGCGCTGTTGATGCAGATGAAGGATAAATACATGTGCAATGCTTCTCGTTTTCCATGGCGAGAAGAGCATTTTTTGATAATTGACGACAATGGGAGTGAGTGACATGGGAAGGGCAGGAGTGAATAGATCTGTAAAGTAAAAACACTGCTAATCAGTCATCACTAATTTGGCAGCCGTCTCATTATCATTATGGGCGTGCGGTACGATAGATACTTGGGCGATCAGAGAACAGGATAAAAATTGCCATGAAGGTTATCAGGTTCAACTAACTGGGTGGATTATGAAAGGACCCCACTATAAAGCTCACTCCTCCTCCGGGATGTGTGCTTACTCCGGCAAATACATGCACGCGAATCCCACTTGCGTAAATACGAGAGTCACACGGTGTCACACGCTCAGAATGTGGTGTGACTCACACTACATTATGATCGCGACTTCACATCTTCACCATAGAGTTTGCTCTTCGTAAGTCACGAATCGTGATCTGCTCCATTTGACGAGAGGTGCTACTTGATATGATCGATAGAAAGCCCCCTGCATAGAAGTTTCGAACTTCGGCGGAGGGAGCCAAGAGCCTCATATCTTCTCGAGCCATACGCCGTGTATGATACACGCCCTTTGTGCTTATAGAGGCTTTATAAGCTGTATCAAGGCTTCGAAGTATCCTCTTTGCGGACCTTGTCTCCGAGACAAGTGAATATGAGACAGTGTCTCGTATCCAAATCGTCACAACGTCCTTTAACAGTCTGTTGGCTCGATGACAGAGTCTCATCAACAAAAATCGTTGAGTACGAGCCATCGATTGGTCGCGGCAATGCACGCTTCAAATAACTTTTCTCCCGGATTGGGAGCTCCAATTCGCACGGAACGGTTCATCCGTTGGGGGAGCTGATAATCATGAATATAGACAAATCATGAAAAAGCAGGAAGTGCATGCGATACCACCAACGAACTGATAGTGCTAATGCTCCTTGAGGATTTTCCGTAAACACTAACTCAGTTGTTGTCTCTTTGTTGGTGAATTGCATAATGCTCTGCATCGTCGTAATGTCGCGTCACCAACTCATCTCACGCTTCACACTTTGAGAATTGGATTTCACTCCGCCATGTCCTGCAACTCTCCTGTACATTTCTTGTAAATGACTACGGATTCGTCGCTCCCATGATGATGAAAATCTCATCCGCGAATTCTGAGAGACAGTCTTATCAGTGATAAATTATCATCATTGGACCTTCAACTTCGTACATTTCGGTACGTTAACCTAGCTGCGACGGCACACGTGAACAGTTTCCGTCACGTCACCTCTTCCTTCAGGAGTGACGTGACGCTGCTCATCGCGCAAAGCTACCCGACTTTGTTACTCGTTACTCCATGAGGGACGTTCGAGAGCTTCTCTTCAACCTTCCATTGGCTTGTCTTCGTCGAAGAGGTTCGTCGTCGTCTTGACTCAAGGCTCTTGAGGTCTTTAGTATACTCACCCCTATGGCTCGTCTGCTGAATATCTTCGCAACCATCGCCGGTGTCATGAGCATCCAGGCTGATCCTTTCGCTGATGATCTAGTTGCAAACTTCACGGCTCTCCTTGGTAATCCGGATGTCCACAAGTTCATAGACAAAGCTCTGATGGATGCTCCTGCACCGCCCAAACCCAATAGTCGCGAGCTGGAGGAGGTTCACGTAGACGGAGACCTTGCAGGTGGGAGGAGGCACTACCCGTTCTGTTCTAAATGCAAGACCATTCACAGTACGGCCATCAACGCGTACTTCATCCAGCAGATCACTGAGATTTGCCGGAGACCTGTACCTGGTTCCTTACTCATTGACGAGTTCTGTACTCACCTCAAGAAGAGAATCGCCTCGCTCGATCAGGTCTTGAACGGTTACATCTTCGTGCGCTCTCGTGCTCTTCAATTAGCGACCACTGCATGCATCGGCACTAATCAGTGTCCAACCCATGATGCCTACAACGCTTTCCTCAATCCTATCGTCCCCGGACGACTCGTTGACTTCACCAGATTCTACTACTACCCAAGTAGACCTTTTCGCAATGTTAGGACTTGTTTTGATGAGCTATTAAGGGAGATGCTAGACTTCGCCTACCACAGGGTGAAGCATGCATGTGAACGCTATGAAAATGAGGATCCAGAAGAGCTCTGCGGGTATGTTGCAGCTGATAGCCACTTCGGCCGAGGTCTGATCGTCGGGTCTGTGGGTATCGCCAAGCTGGCCACTGGTTATTGTGTTCGCGACCAATGCAGTGAGTTCCTATAATATACCATGGCTCTTCAATGGGGTTTCCGATATTTCTGCCTCTGATTGATGCTTAGATCGTGTTGGAGCGTAAACGCTCCGTAAACCATGGACTTTCCATTGAGCTGATTCGATAGGAAACACCTCTTCTTATTACATCCAATCCACTGAGACTCCGCCAGCGCCTGGTGGTCTTTCATCATATTCCGCGGCTGAGAACCTCTCAGACGTTTTTCACCTTTTTACTCGCTCCACAATTTTTCTCTTTCCGATACAATGGGATTGTGTTCAGCCCGTGGCTGAGTATATGGAGATGAAGCACTGGAACAGTCGTGGGACTGATGTCGTACGGTTCTCAATCTATCTCGGATTGGCGGGACCAACTTTCGTGACGAGCCAGATCTCCCCAGCGAGTCTATGATAGACTCGCCCGATAGACTGTCTATCGGACATAATATACATATACTCAGTGATACGCAATGAGTATACTATTTTGATACTCCATGCTCCTCCAGCTAGTCGGTTGGTATACGGAAGACTGTGTGGAGCATGCTTGGAGTAGGTACTCGCTCCTTCCCGTGGCATGGCTTGTGTCCGCATCTGTACAATGTCATTATAACAATGATACGCGTATCCACTCGGATTCAAAACCCGCCGCATATCAGCTAGTATGCCATTGGTATGCGAGTCAGTGCAGATTTTCGCTCCGATCGGCTTGGGAATAAGTTATGTGACAAGTGTGACAAGTCATTCTACATAGAGTTGCACTTTTCTCAGTGGTCTTCCTTCCTCTGATTCATTTGCACACGCGGGTTTTGGATCAAGTCCGTCACCATTCACTCTATTCCTATCGACGACCTTGCGTTTACCAGTGACTCGGAGCACGAGAACTACCGTTCAGCCAAAAAGATGTCTACAAAATGAGGGGGTGACCACATTAGTGGTTCAACGTTCTCCGGTGTGACCATCCGCTCATATAAAGAGCTATGGTGTGGCAGTGCTCCCAAAATGTCGGACAAGACTGGGGCTTCTGATGTGCTGGGAGTTGCTCTACGCGACTCTGGTATCCCCAAGTACCCAAATGTCACGTTCATTGTTTATCGCCAGGTGGCCTTGGGTGATGATGTCACTTAAACGACGCGCTGTAAGTTACAGCCTGTAACAACAGACCACAACTTTATGAGCACTAATCGTCGTACAGTGACTTGAACTACTCCAAGGCGGTGAGGGATTCGATGTACACATCAAAGTGTGGTTCAAGAACTCCAAGGTAAGCGCGCCTTGCCTACCCCTGTCATTGCCTGTCTTCTTCTCCATGAAGCATGTTGATGGGGACGCGGCTCTTTGACAGCGAACTGTCAGTTCGGAACTGAGGCTATAACGGTGCGAATTCTCCTGTCCAAGACCCATACTGACTATCACACTGTTCTTGCTGAGATGAGCGGACACAATGGCCCCGACGAGGTCATTGTGGTCCATTGGAGGAGATGATACGTCGTATCCAATGGACCTACCGGTGGTCACCTGCAATGTCCTAAAGCGGCTATCAACATTATCTGGTGATCACGCATGGATCGCCTTCTTGTACATCCGGTCTAAATCATGGTTCTCGTTGTCGACGACTTCTATAAGCCCTACCTCCGTGAGGGGATCCTGGTCATCGATATATCACAGGGACCTAGAATGGGTTGAGACCTTCCTAGCAAGGGAGTCTGATGTGTAGAATGAGATGGTCTCATATCACGAGTACAAGCGTATTCAACCGCCCTGCGAGTGTGATCGAGTCATCCACACGATACGCACGATACGGACATCACTAATAGTGATTCACTATCCGACGACCTGAGGAGGGATAGAATCCTCGTCGAAGACGTATCCTATTACAGGATACGTCTAGGGTACGTTTATTATAGGATTCCTGTACCGACATTATTGGAAGACTTCTAGACATAGAGGCTAGGAGCTCGACCTACTACCCATGGGAGAGTGTCAAGAAATCCGAGTCCATAGGATCTCGCCATAACCAGTCGAGCGCGGCCAAGGACTGTACCATCTTCCCTCCTGCGACCGCAACAAAGCCCTCTGAGAAGTCGTCAAACAAAGAAGGGTCCAAGAATGACCGGTGGTGCGATATCTGCTTGAAGTATGGTAAGCAGTGCTTACTAAGCACACTACCGAGCGCTGTTGGGACAATCCTAATACTACTGCCACCATACCCGATTGGTTTAAGAACAAGTCCTCCAACTTGGAGGTACAGCGTTCCACTCTTAGGAAGGTCTCTGTGCTGAGGCTGCTCTCGCGTGCGTGCGACTACTTAGGTCGTCGTCGCCCGAACACAATCGATCAGGCTACGTGTGTGCGTGCCCCATTGCTCATTGCTTGTGCTTTGGAAGCCTCACGGATTGCCAATTATTCTTTTCGGTCAAACTTATTGATTCATGTGACATCGGTATCAGATATTATCACCCTCATTTCCTAATGAATGACTCCGAACCCTCAAATGATCCTGAGTTGTCACTGGGAAGAACCATACTTGAGCCCCAAGACGCTACAGAGGCTCCAAGGCCTCTACCAAGGAGAAGTCCGAGAAGCGGCTACTCAGAAGCCTATTAAACCTGCAGCAGGTTACCTGCTGAAGGTAAAGGAAGAGGGGGGTAAGCCCAGCTCTGATGGTCCTGAAGAGTCGCAATCGCGATTCAACCTCAGAAAGACCGAGGGCCTCGGTCCGAGGCCAAAGACTATAAGCCGGTTTTTTGCACCAGCCGTTCATGTTTTTCCTCATCAGATGAGGCGTCTCGGATGAGGCTTTCCTGAGACGCGATTCAGAGCGCATCTGATTGACGAGAACTGCGGCTATAACGGCCACCTTTCTACTGTTGCAGCGACGGATTCTCTCTGCATATCCAAGCGTGTTGATAGCTCCCGGGTCGACAAGGGTTGGAGAACAGTCCGCTACGAATGAGTTAACCAAATATTCTCCTCTGGCCACTCTCTCGACATCAACGGGGGGGCGTTGTGGTACCGGTTACTGTCCGTCCGATCGATAATGAATCTGGATGTTAGATTGGTCCAAGAACCTTCACCGTACAGGCTATAGATGCTCGACCAGTCTGTGCGTCAGAGAGCGTCACCTTTTTGTACATGCGTACAGACTTTCTCCTTGTGCTTGCGTACAAGTGTGAGCATAGGATACATTCCGTACTATTGATCTTGAGCATTGAGCGTTACTAGCTCCTAAGTCCGTAGCCATCTTGGCTCAAGTCTCAGTGTACGCTTGGGTCGCATCTCTCCAGCTAATGTCGGGTCGTGTTGACACAAGGAAACGACAGGAGGCGCCGGACAATGTCCTCAAGATGAATGTCCTCGGATGATGTTGATGTCATCAACAAGGCCCTGGTCGTGGAAATAAGGTCTATGTTGCTCGACTGCGGTCTCATACTCGGCGCTTACTCCCTGGAGAAAATGGAGCCGATCTACGCTTCTCGAGTAAGACCCTTAGTACAGGATATTGGTATAATCAGGATAGCAGCTATCCGATAGCTCCCTTGTCCGCTGTTCCCCATCGGATGGGGAACAGCGCTATATTATGTCCGCTAAATTATGCTGACATGGGTTCTGTCGAGGAGAGATTCGAAAACTCTTCCCTGGATGAAGTCATCCAGTTTTGCAGGGACAAGCTAGGGGAGGCATCGCCTATGCGGCATAGGCTATGCCTGCTCTCGAGTTCGGGCTATGACACGGCACTACCCCTTGCCATTCCCCATCGAGTTGAAATGTACCGGCGCCGCCGGCCCGGTGCATCTCGTCGATGCCACACGTTGTACGATCAACCGGGGGATAGAGACTGGTAACTAGGTGGAGCTGGAGCCGACAAGTGACTTGTCGGGATAAGACCTAGTGACCAGTCAGACTGGTCCAGTCTTGTCACAAGTCTGGACTCCAGGCTCTGGAGACGGATGCTCGAGTCCCCAACGCTTTCGTGAAGCCTAAGGGTAGACTCGACAGTGACGGCTTCCAAGAGATCCGAGTTGCAACTTTGCTTCTGCAGATGAGGCACATACATAAATATATATCCCACCCAGCTGTCGAACACGACAGCACCCTCCCTTGGGCTATGAAACAGACCGTGATCTGCGAGAACGCATCAAACTGTGGGCAAAGCATGCCGCCTACACCGTCATGGCAGGTTTTCCACAGTTGAGCAGATCCGCAATTCTCCCAAACCAGATCACGGATAGAGAATAGCCCAGTGAGAGGATAGAGGATAGCCCAGTGAGAGGATAGAGGATAGCCCAGTGAGAGGAAAGGGAAAGTCCTATACTACGTCACCTCTCTGCTATATATCCACGTATATATATAGGCACCAACCCGAACCACCATGTATGAAAGCCCCCCAACTCAATTAGCAACCTCGTCTGATGTTGCTAATATGAGACTCTCTGATGCAAGTCGCATACTGGGGGTTCACAGGAGTTGACCATTGGTGCACACGCAAGTAGTTCTGCCGCTCGGTATGCCACGCCGGCAGATCCAAGATTATCATCGGCTCCACAGGAAGGCGCCTTTGATCTTGTAAAGGGCGTACAGAACCTGGCTCATCCCCCTGTGAATGGCGCTGTATTGTGGGAGCCGTGTTGTCACCCCGATGCCTAAGCTGAGCTTTTGCTCTCATCACCACTGCAGCGAATAGTTGGCTACTCGTCAAGAGAGCGTCTTCTATGTAGATGTCGACGCACTTGAAATCCTTGGACCATCTACCAAAGGCACGTATCTGGTTCCGTTCCAAGCCTGGCTGGTGTCAGTCTGACACTGTCAGATGTTAGCGCAGCCTGGCCCAGCCCGCGCTAACATCTGACACCCTCCTCGAAGCCAGCTATGGAGTGTATGTACATCTTTAGAGCCAGTACCCGACCTTATCGCATCGCGCTTGAGCCATGACCTCAGTGCCTCCTTTGACATACACTTCCCATCAGTATCGACTAGAAGTACATCGCCAGGGCCAGTCTCTTCCATTCTTCGCATATTCAGCAGACACTCGGCAGCGCGGACAGGGCACAGGTCTTTATCCAAGCCGTTACTGAAGGCCTCACACGAGCATCCGTGATCCCTCATAACGCCAATAGCCTGAGTGTCGGTTTTGCTGGCCGTCACCGTCAGCTCCACTTTACCAATTATAGGGTGGAGACGCACATCATCGACCTTCAGCTTGCATAACTCGTCGCCTCTCAGCAAGAACCAGGAGCCCAAGACATAGGCATTCGCTCGGCGAATTTCTTGAGGACCCCGCGCATTGCGGATCATCGCCTGCAGCTCGCATGGTGGATTGGTCTCGCATGCTTAGGGGGGCCGATACCTCGGGTCAGGGAACGCTTGACTCTCGATAGACATGCCTTCTCCACTGGTCCCAAGGAGTGCCCCAACACAGAATTGTGGGCACAAGCGGCTGCCAAGTAGTCGCCGCCGCTACGGTAATTGGCCGCTTTCAAGATGGACCCTACCAGCTCGATGTTGACACAGCACACCGAGAATGCAGCTACTCCTTGGGACTGACAGGTCTCCATCCACAGTTTTACACGAGAGCAGTTAGACCGTCGAGTGGAATCCGCGTACATACCACGTTCCAGCTCCTTCATAGCCTGATGTCTACCTTTTACATTATCTGGTTGAAGAAGCTTCCTAACCTCCTAGATACTCCCTCGATTAGGAGGTAGCCGACGGCGACACCCGGAAGATGAAGGTGAACTCATGGAGAGAACCAAAAGGACGATGAACCTACCTGACATTCTGAGAGAGGCATACATTATGAAAGTCAAACTCTCAGGGATAGCCAATGGAGCCAAAGTGAATCCAAAATCCCCCCAAACCCCGCAACTGTAACCACGAGGCGAGTAGCACGCGTGATATAGACGCAATCATGCAAACCCGAATCGAGGGTAAGGGTGTGAACCCGAGTGTTGTGATTTCTCTCTTGACTTAACAAAACCATACTTCAGCCAGTAACAGGGATATAGGAAGAGATACTGATCTGATGCTCAAATATGCACCACAATATCGTAATACGTTCAAAACATCATCTAGCGAGGAGAGACAAATGCACAGCTTAGCTCAGATAATTACACAATAATATCACAAATTACATACGGTATCCTTGTCGGAGTTCACTACATAACAGCCCCCTAAAATGAGATAGCAAGCATTTACATCCTCGCTGACTTCTTAGCTCGGTCAGCAGCCTCTGCAGTCCAACTCTCAGCTCGAGCACGCTTTGGAGCACGTATCTGGAGTTGCTGGTTGGTTGAGTCACTCGCACCCGATGACTGCGATTGTGCAAGATCAGCTGCTACATCTTCATCTGAACAATGACGCTTACAGTTACCAAGCCAATGAGTCTCGACACCATTTGAAGTAGTTATCATCACATGACGTCCTCTCGTAGCCAGCACTGGAAAAGGGCCTCGAAAGGTAGGAGATAATTTATGAGCTCTCTCTGTGAAAACATAAACCATTTCACCGGGCTTGAGGTTGCTCTCATACTTGATCACTGGCAAAGACCGTTCTCGCTGGAGAAGCCACTCCTTGACGAATACACCGAGGAGTTTTCGCCGATTCCCACCAACTGCATCAGCAACCTTCATTAAGTCAAATACGGAGTTCGGTCTTGATAATACCAATGAATCATCAGCACCCTTCATACAAGGAACTGGCAAGGTGCGACCATAAAATAGTAAGGCAGGACAAATGCGACTCTGACCGATTTCACCATGATTCACCAGCCACTTAACTTGCTCCAAAACCAACTCGTCATGCCAGTCTGAGCCACCATCACTAAGGACGAACTTCCTCAAAGCTTCCAATATTATCCTATGCCGTCGTTCATAATAACCTCCTGCTTCAGGATGATTACTGGGATGTATATTCCAAGATATGCCCACACTCAGAGTGTGGACAGACGACAGAGGTTCCCCATCTTCGGAAACCAACACCAGTCCGAGAGCAGCAACTTCAGCTGTCTCGAGTTAGCATGACAGTCTGCATGCGCGTGCATCACCAATTCCTTCCTGACGTCGACAGGCAGTACAAGTTGCTTAACAATACTACCCAAAGCATTGAACCTTTGGACCCGGAAAACAACTCCATCATCATCTTTGATGAAGCCGTTACCTTTAGCAAGAGCTTGAACCTCAGCACATGTCTGCAGGGCTTCCCTGACTGCATCTAGGTCACAGTAACGGGGACACTGAAATGGTTCAATTGCTATATCGTCATCATCATCATCATCATCATCACCAAGCACATCCAACGTCTCAGAATAAAACTCACCAATAGCGTCTTCTTGTAGAAGACTACTTGAGATATGCAGAGGATCAACCTCAGTGACAATGACACTTGACATCACCAGAGGCAAGATCCTGTGGTAGGACCCTTGCCATGGAATCCACAAGCTTAACCACTGAAAGACGAGGCACCCACAATGTAGCATCAACTGTCCGATGGTATTCAGTTACCATCCTAAGATCCAGCTCGGTAGCCGCATGATCAGCTTCAAGAGTATGCCAATACCGACCATCAACAGAGTTAGCATTATCACCAATCATCACCACAGGAGAGGTGCATAGAGGGAGGAACCTATGCAGAGCTAACAACTGTGCTTTACGTTCACGAAAAGTTGAAGAGCGAAGCATATCCTCGTCCGTCACTGAACCACCATCGAGAGAGAGCGGGAGCAGCATACATATCTCATCATCGGCCAGCTCTAAAGATATTTCAGAGCACATCTTGATGGCCAGCCCATCAAGGGCGAGATGCCAGCCTATAGCTCGGGGACCAATATCCGCAATCTCACTCTTCTTGATTATGATAAGTTGAAACATGATGGCAGCCCAAGCATCCTTATTACAATCAACCATTATGGCCGTGCCAGCCACTTGGCAGCCCTCTCCATTACCAAGAACGTAGAGGCAAACCAGCCCCGATAAATAGTAACGAGCAAGCTCCTTCACCAGGGATGTTGCCTTCGAGCTCCTAGGATCTAGTCGTTGAAGTCTACGAAGAATTACCTTGGCTTCTGGAGACAACCATTTACAAAGCCATTGGAACCTACCAGCCCAGCTGCGGATCCAACTCTTTCGCTGTTCCAGATCATGGAATCTCTCAAAGTCTGTACAACTCTCCTCAATCAAGGCGGTAGTCAATGCAGGTCTCTTCACATTAGGGAAGATCTCACTTCGATAGCAACGAACTCCACAGAAATCGACCATGTCGCCAGACTCACATTTATCAAGTGCCACCGTAAAACCATATCGGGTAAATAGGTCGATCAAAACTTTTTTTGCTTGGAGAACACTATCCCTATCTCCCCTCCTAATAGAATATCATCCTGAAAATGGATCAGTCTCACGGCTAGTCCCATTTTCTTACAGATGATACAGGCCTCTTCCAAAACCGACCCCACCACCCTTGAGAATAGGACCGCGCTGTATCGCCATCCTTGTGGTAATACAGTACACACCCATAGACACTCCACACCATTGGCATCAATAGTCCTACATGCAAAGAGAGGCCAAAGTTCATCATCCAGATGAACGGATGAGAAGCCATCACTTAGGTCAATCTTAACAAAGAACTTTCTCATCGATGGCGGCCACAATCGCAAAATGCTCAGAGCCCCATCCTGAGACTGAGTAACCTCACCACTCCTCCTAGGAATTGATGCGACATCAGATTTCATAACCCACACATAACCACCCGATTTATCAGGAGCCGTTTTCGGAACCAGTTGCATAGCATTAAGTCTTCTAAGATCCAAGGTCACTCTAAAACGGGCCTTAATCTGTTCATCACTCATCGAGCAGATATCGGACTGAGTCAGTGATGAGTCCTTAGAACCAGCTTTCTTATCAACCAAGACTACCTCGTTGATCACCATAGCCTCCTTGACAGTTGCCGCTCGAAATTTCTTCTCATTAGCTGCAATACAGAGTCTTCGGTGGATCGCTATCTCTCGAGTGCGATTGCGCTTCCGCCTGGGCTCAGTGAATGGCATCACCGAGATACCACTGAGGGCAGGACACGAGACAGTAAAGTTTACAGCACCAACAGCGATTCGCTGTTGGTGCTGTTTGATTTAAAAAGTCCAACTGTAAGCATAGCTATACAAGTACTTTCAATTAAGGCATGGAACCTTAACTCTGTATCTCCGACCACGAACCGCTGGGACTGTGCGTTTTCGGGCACTTACTACGGCAGGCTTCAATAGATTTCTCCTTCACCCGACGGGTGACACCCGTCGCCAGTGGTAGTGCTCGAATGCGTCCCTCACAGCTCGCTGATCCTTTCCCGGTGAACAGGGCACTGGGTCCACACCGCATTGTCCACCCGCATAATGTTCATAGCCGAATGCCAGAATGTTAGGGGAGATGGGACACTTGAAACCATCGCGGTTGAAGTAGAAGCTACCGATGGGCCGCGAGTTCAGCAAATGGCAACAGCGCAGCAACAACTCGTCGATCTCGTCGTCAAACTTCGAGGCGATGTTAACCACGCACTCTCTGTCAGAGAGACTCTGAGAAGAATCCTCAGCTTACGGGAGGCTAAGTCGTGCACCTTTTCATACTTCCCTCCTTCATGAGGGGCTCGAGCAATGCTCGATGAGCATTCAGAAGGAAAGTGATGGCTCCAAGCTCCTTCTGCATGGCCCGAGTGAAACCGCTGCATGTGGAATAGGACACCGTATCCGTATAAATTTCTCGCAGCCCATCTCTCAATAACTGGAGGCGCCGTAATGCCTTAAAGGCATTGCCTTTATACTGCTCTTGAAGTCATCATCGCTGCGGATCATTGTCATATGGGCACTCGTAAGGCACGTGCAAGTGTTGCTCATCCCCAACCTCATCCTCAGCACTAGGAAGAACACGAGCCGAGTGGGACATAATAGATGTATGGTTTCGAGCGAGGGAGAGCCCGAAAATGATAATGCCAAACGACTAGTTAGGGGGCTCAAACTGTGTACGCGTGCAAACAGTTTTGTAACTGTAACCGTTTCATCACAGTAAAGTAGCGCACGCCAGACTGTGCGCCGGGTGGCTTATGCACTGACATCGGAGCTACACAATGCACTACTCAGCATCAAAGTTAGGACCTTACACCGCATGCCCGGATAGAAGTAGTCGACCCCAACGCGCCAGTATGGTGGACAACGGAAAAGGTCTGCAGGCGTATTACCATCGCTCCTGCGGACACCCAGTGACATAGGATTAACTCACACGCGCTTTGCCCTAGATATCTGGCATATGATACACTGTTTGACAAAGCTTCTCGAAGAAGCTAGGCCAGCCGGTATTAGCGGCCCGGTAAGTGGAAGTCGCCGATCTGACCGCAGGTAGCATCACCACCTCCATGAACACAGTTCCTATGAGCCACTCTGATGATGAGCGACCGGAATCGGGAGCACAAAGAATTCCGTGGCAGAACAGGCCTCCAAACCACTTTTCCAGACGCTGTGCCAGACCGGTATATAATTGCCGTCAAACGGTCTTGTAGTCGTCTAACCTGTGGTGCTAACGACGCCAGTTCAGCTGACGATATAAATATCGGCCCACAAGGTCATCTTGTCAAGGTGCCAACTTCGTGATACCATCCAGGTATGAGCAATACTGAGAGTCTGATAATTGACAACTTCGGGCAGTCATATATCGTGCCGCTACTGGATCGAACGGCGATGTTCTAGGAAAGATCGAAAGCTCTAGGGCGTGCAGTGACTTGTTAGCATTCGCCCTGAGAATGTATATAATCGCCTTGGTGTACCATAAGTTATGGTCCATAACAGACGAACCAAGTCATCAACGTCGTAACAATGGCGACTAGCACAATCAGCGAGAGATTCACTGGAGCTGACGTGCTCGCGATATGATGTTGCTTCTTGGAGGCTCCAAGTTGGAGCAGGCCGAGAACGTCACTCATTGCCGCTCCATGGTAGATGGACAGAGCACTTAAATGGAGCGACTGTGAGTCTTGATGGCGCGAGACGCTGAGCCGTTCTGATACAAACTGATACTTGTCCTGTACTTCCTGCGCCTCAGAGTCTGAGGCTCAGGCTTCTCCAACGAGGACGGATCCCGGGCTAGCGGATCTTCGTCGGAATTGAGTCTGACGCCTAGCCAGATCCTTGACATAAAGGGTCACGAGCACTTTCCTCTGACTCCGCGGTGGCCTCTGATAGACATTCTGCAAGAGGCATACCGGCCCTTGCGGTACGATGCGTCGTCGGTAATGTAAAAAGTCGCATAGGTTGAACCTATTAGGTTCTGTAACAGTCTCAGTAAGACGACTAACCCACGCCTATTCGAATGCCAACGGCTCTCTGCTCTCCGCCATAGTAAGTCCTCGGAGAAAAGCTTGATGTCGTTAACATATTAGGAATTCTCTACCATAGTGTACTTCAACTCCCAGGATGCTGCCCTCCTTCGCGACTGGTAGATCTATGCCGCACTGCTACAGGGCTGATTTAAGCTCATCCTCACAGCTTTTGACTGCAAAAGCATGCACATTCCGCAGCTTGGCGTCGGAGCCAACTCGCCGAGTTGAACTCGGGGTAACCATACGAGTAATACTTTGAACTCCATCACGGTCGGTAGTGTGGGATCAGACAGCGCCAGGTCATCATTGATGACTCATCAACAAAAAGAAATATCAGGACCAGCACCATATATAAGAGAATCTCTATAAGAGGATCTGATCCAAACCACCGAAATATGTCGACCGAGCCTCACCGATGAGTTGACTCAAGCCGCCGTTCAGCCCACAAGGGCCGGAAACTACTCCGAACCCCATCCTGCTACTGACATACCGCCCCAGAGCGCTCTCGAGCACCAGAATTAGGTTATCGATACGTATGTTATAGAACGCGCTGCGGCAATCGCAGAGCAAGGTGGTTTCCCTCGACTCAGTGCGAAGAAGTCCTAGAACATGAAACAACGCCGGGGACTCTCCACCTGCACCAGCACAAGGCAAAACCTTGTTCAGCTCTCTGAAGTCGATTACCAGACGACTCTCCTTAGACTCGGATGCTGGAGGTATAAGGAAAATCTGGGCCGGAGGGGAGGGAGTCGGAACCAGGGAGGCCTCAACCAACCACTTTGATGTCAAATACCCTTCGACCATCGCAGCATACTCTTCTTTGAGAGCAGGTGAGAGTCTTGAGTACATCGATCTCGCATAACTGCGCCCTCTAGAAAGGACTTGTGGGATTCTGGGTACACGGGTCTCGCTGCGACTCGCAGCCTGCGAGACTCTCGCATACATGTGACTGATACCCAGGGACGTTAACAACTTCGCAAGACAATAGCTCTCGAGACTCGAATGCGACAGTGGTACGCACCCTTTGTACGCGGAATAGCAACCCATTTTCTGTGAGAAAGAGCTTCCAGAACCATATCGATGTGAGCATCCTCAGTCTGAAAAGCAACGGGGCTCAGGGCTTGCTGATCCAAATTTGTACTCGGGGGTGACCCCAGTCACCCTGTATCGACAAGACAGGATGACCAATGAACCTCACCACCACTGACTACTGACACTACTGACTCATGACTTCCGAATGCGGCATACCTGCATCGTAGTTGAGGTCGCCGTTGTTACTCCTGTATATCCTCGTAGAAGCTTTGCTCTTAGCTATCGGATGCAGTCCGTTAGACAAGGGTATTTCAATATTGATGCCGGCTGGAGCCCCTTCCACGCACATCTCTTCCACAAAGTCGATATCCTCCACCTCAAAATAGCGCATAAAGGACACCCAAACTTCCGAATGATAGTCCGCGCAGTCTCTCGGGTCTTTCTGGACTTTGAAGAATTCCTCCAGCGCAGCTGTGACCGCCTTAGTTGCTTGCTTGCACAATATTTCAAATTGTTCCTGGTTTTCTGCTTCTGGGGATCCTCGAAGGCCTGCTAGTTTGTCAGCGACTATTTTCACTTCCGAGACCGCCAGCAACTTCTGGATGAGTGGATCTTTTGACCATTCCTCGAAGGTCAACTCCAGTTGATTGGCTAGCGGCAGCGTAGCTTCTCCCATACTAGATCCATCAACATAGCTGTCGCATGTGGCATCAGAGCAATTTTCGGCGATATCCCGAAGATTCCCCGATCCTGCTGGTCAGTGATTCGCCGATGCATTGATCTTGGATGTGTAGTTCTCGGCTAAGTCTGTGAGTTCAGGGGGATGGGACGCGCCTAGAACTACTGACTACCGTGACTGATACCCATTTTCTGCTGAAGATGTCTTACATGTCTCCATCTGCTTCTTTTTCTCTTCGTAAGCTGCCCGATGTCTAGCCTCAGTTTCCTGACTTCGTTTATGTGGCATTTGGTGTGAACTGCAGTCCTGCAATAAAGGGATTGCCCGAAAGCTAACCGGCCCATTGGCTCTTATTGATGAGAAACTCAGAGCTTCACAATAGGCAACAGAAACACTCGTGACATAATTCAAAGCTCGACATTCTTTGAGACAAAAGGAGCTATCGACCTCTTGCACTGAGCGAATACGAATCACATCAACTCTTCTGATCTTTTTGATAGTAACGATCATGTTGAGATCCTTTAGATCTCTTTCCCTTTTCTCCTTCACCACTCCCTCTTCGCCTTTCCCCTTTCCACGGGTAGTGTAACCTCTGTGCTGCGATGGCTTGAAAAGGCACGTCCTCTGCTCGAGTAACTCACATTCCAGGTAGGAGTGCTTGCACATAGAGAAGCCTGACTCTCCTATCCAGGACAGGCTATCCTTGACTGCTTCAGAAGCAGTGCTTCTGAAGCACTCCCCAATGCTTCCATCTCTTTCCGAAAGAGAGATACTCAACAATCCAGATAGGAAGAAGGATAGTTCATCAGTTCAAATTGGACCGTTCTAAAATGGAACCAGCGAAAGTTGCTAATTGAAAATTGGAAGTTGCTAATGTCTAGCGTGCGACCTTCGCACAACAGCTTGTGCGATCACACTATAATAGTGTCAATATTATGAATAATTCATAATATTGCACAAATGCTAGCCTGAAAGTGGTTCATCCCGTACCTGTGGCCCGCCTCCATTTCTTTAAGTTATTCTCACGGAAGCCTTTAGGGCCATTGTAAAAGCCTAACTTCGACGGCATATCTTTCATAAAGAGCATTCTGGGCCATCCTTAAGGCCCAGCTTTTGAACAGCATCCTGGGCCACTTCACGGCCTAGCTTTTACCCTTTATGGTTCGAAAAAACACCCTGGGCCATCTTTCAAGGCCCCGTTTTCACCTAATATGGTTCAGAAAAAGACCCTGGGCCATCCTCGAAGCCTAGTTTCTACAGCTCATTGTTCAAAATTTGAACTTCAAATTCGGCATCCTGGGCCATTTTCAAGGCCTAGCTTCTACACCTCATTATTCAAATAGAGCATTCTGGGTCATTTTATAGGCCTAGCTTCTACATATCACTATTCAAATAGAGCATTCTGGGCCGGCTTCAAGGCCTAGCTTCTCCTGGAGAAGCTGGACCAGCGTGTAACACGCTGCGTGTTGCTTGGATAGAGCATCCTTTGCCATCTTCAAGACCTAGCTTTCACCGCTCATTTCTGACGGTCATATTCGAATTGTGGATTTTAGTTCTCGCTCACCAAAAGCGAGCCCCGATAGTCTCACGCTCTTCAGAGGCAAGTCCCGAAGGTCTCACGCTCTTCAGAGGCAAGTCTTGAAAGGTCTCACGCTCTTCAGGGGCAAATGTCGAAAGGTCTCACGCTCTTCAGGGGCGAGTCCCGGAAGTCTAGCGCTCCTCAAATATTTTTACACTGATTCGAATGACTCACATTCAAACTCTAGTGAGCCTACGATTAACCTATGTAATGTGAGAAAGAATGTAAAGTTTACATCGTAAACACTGTGGCTCGATCCACTCCCAATTAGACTGCATGTATTGCCAGTATATCCGTTTCGTGAGTGAGCTTTTCAGTTATACAGTCTTGCCGCGGTCTTGCAATAAAATCGTGGAGGCACTCAGGTATGGTCCCCGTATATTTAACCCCCCCCGTTGCAATCGCGCGCGCCTCACTTTAACCTCGCCCAATAAATTGACCTATCAATGATAATCATGAATGTAGAAAAATCATGGAAAAGCGGGAAGTGCATGCGATACCAGTGGTATCATACCACCAACGAACTGATAGTGCTAATGCCTCATTGTGGGTGAATTGTATAATGCTTTGCATCGTCGTGATGTCGCGACACCAATGAGATGAGTCATCTCACGCTTCACGCTTTGAGAATCGGATTTCACTTCGCCATGTCCTGCAACTCTCCTTTACATTTCTTGCAAATGACTGCGGATTCGTCGCTCCCATGATCACGGAAATCTCATCCGCGGATTCTGAGCCCACAGTCTTATCACTGATAAGGTATCATCATTGGAACTTCAACTCCGTACTTCTCGGTACGTTAACCTAGCTGCGACGGAACACGTGACCAGTTTCCGTCACGTCTTCTCTTCCTTCAGGAGTGACGTGACGCTGCTCATCGCGCAAAGCTACGCGACTTTGTTTGTTATTTGTGCGAGGAAGCCTCCGTGAGGCACGATCGAGAGCTTCTCTTCAACCTTCCATTGACTTGTCTTCGTCACAGAGGTTCGTCGTCGTCTTGACTCGAGGCTTTTGAGGTCTTTAGTATACTCACCCTTATGGCTCGTCTGCTGAGTATCTTCGCAACCATCGCCGGTGTCATGAGCATCCAGGCTGATCCTTTTGCTGATGATCTAGTTGCAAACTTCACGGCTCTCCTTGGTAATCCGGATGTCCACAAGTTTATAGACAAAGCTCTGATGGATACTCCTGCACCGCCCAACCCCAATAGAAGTGAGCTGGGGGAGGTTCACGTACACGGAGACCTTGCAAACGGGAGGAGGCGCTACGAGTACTGTTCTAAATGCAAGGGCTCTTACAGTAAGGCCATCGTGGAGGATTTCGTGGAACAGATCTCCTTAATCTGCGGGCGGTTTGAGAAACATGACTCCGTATCCACCGACGACTTCTGTGCTCGCCTCAGGGAAAGAAGGGCCTCGCTCGATGAGTTCTTAAGGGGTTACATCTTCGTGCGATCCCGTGCTCTTCAACTCGCGACCTCTGAATGCATCGGCGCTGATAAGTGTCCAACCCATGACGCCTACAACGCTTTCTTGAATCCTATCGTCCCCGGACGACTCGTCGACTTCATCAGATTCTCCTACTGCCCACATAGACCTTTTCACACAGTTAGCTCTTGTTTCGAAAGGGTATCGGAGATATTGCAGGACTTCGCCTTCCGCAGGGTGATGGATGAATGTGATCACGGTGGAAATGATGATCTAGAAGAGTTCTGCTCGTATGTTACAACTCGTAGTCACTTCGGCCGAGGTCTGGTTTTCGGGTTTGTGGGTGTCTACGAGCTAGCCACTGGTTATTGTGTCGCGGACCACAACCAATCCCAGTAGTTTTTATGATATGTCATGGCCCTCCAATGTGGGTTCCGATGTTCCCGCCTCTGATTAATGCTTAGATCGTGTTGGAGCATAAACGCTCCGTAACCCATGGACTTTCTATTGATCTGATTCGATAGGAAACACTTCTTCTTACTACATCCAATCTACTGAGGCTCCACCAGCGCCGGGTGCTCTCTTATTATAGCCCAGTGCGACTTGACCGCAGCCTTGTTCTCAGGTTTTTCATCTTTTATTCGGTCCATATTTTTTTCTCTTTCCGATACAATAGGATTGTGTTCGGCCCGTGGGTGAGTATATGGAGATCAAACACTGTAAAAGTCGTGGGACTGATGTCATTGTTCTAAATCTATATCGGATTGGCGGGACCAACTCTCGTGACGAGCCAGATCTTCCCAACGAATCTATCGGACATAATATACATATTCTCAGTGATACAGCAATGGAGTATCACTGATACTCCATGCGGCATGGACCATGCCATTCCAGCTAGTCGGTTGGTATACGGAAGACTGTGTGGAGCATGCTTGGGTAGGTACTCGCCCCTTCCCATGGCATGGCTTGTGTTCGAAGCCGTACAATGATAGTATCATTATCATTATCATTATCATTATCATTATGATACGCGTATCCACTCGGGTTCGAAGCCCGCCGTATATCAGCTAGTATGCTACTGGCATGCGAGTCAGTGCAGACCTTCGTCCCGATCGCCTTGGGAATAAGTAATGTGACACGTGTGACAAGTCATTCTACATAGAGTTGCACTCTTCTCAGTGGTTCTTTCTTCCTCTGATTCACTTGCACGCGCGGGTTTTGGATCAAGTCCGTCACCATTCACTCTATTCCTATCGACGAACTTGCGTTCACCAGTGACTCGGAGCACGAGAACTACCGTTCAGCCAAAAACATGTCTACAAGATCAAAGGGTAAACGCATTTAATGTGGTCACCCTCTGGTTACATCTCAGATCAATATTGCAGATCTCAGTATCCCGTATGCATACTCTGTATTACAGAGTATGCATACAAGATACTGCTAATCCTCGACCAAGCACTTGGCTCAGACTGACGGTAGGTTGCTCTGCTGGCAGACTCACTGACGACTGAGGCACCAGGGACGAAAAGGAAATGACCGTTGGAGACGTTGGCCAGGACAAGCCGGTTGATCACGCGACAATTCAGAGTGATTCTATAGCGAGAATCAACTGTGGGATCCGGATATCTTCGAGTGCTGGTCCAACAATGATGTCCAAACCACAATGATGTGGTTGCTCCAACAAGTGGAGTATGCGAGTCGCATGGGGTGATGGGTGAGATGGCATGATATCCAGCATAGTAGATCCGATCTACTATGCTGGATGATCGATTCGATCATTTACCCTTATCAAGATATCATGGACGAAAGCAGAGAGCCACCGATGCTACCAATAGGTGAAGATGAGTTCAAATGACGACCACAAGTGACGTCCCCAGTAAAGGGCAGATAGGGTCAGACCTTTAGAGCAAGTTCGCGATCTAATAAGCCGCCCACATAGTCAGAATGTGAGTAGTCGAGAGGCCCTCGTCGAAAGTTTGCATCTATGGAAGGTCGACCAGTACCAGCATCTGAAAATCTTTAAGATTTTCCAGGAGGAAAATCTCTTCCTCTGGATCTCCAATCTCAAAGTGTAACCAACAGGATGTTGCTCTGTTGTCAACAGTGAGTTGACCTGTTGTCAAAGGCTTTGAGTCAAAGCCTCTGACAACAGGGAGGAATACTCGCGTCATGAATCTGACGACGGTTAATGTATCGGTTGAGCTAGCCGTGACTCACGGCCCGTGAGTGGCACGCTCCCAGCAAACAAATATGACTCTCACAACAACTGATATCGTTGATGTTTGCGACACCACCGTTGTGAGAGTCTCTCACTGAGAGAACGACTCTCATGGCGGTTGTCTATCATTTCGATGGGAAACCACTTTCGCTGAAGCGAGTTATGTGCTCGAACGAGTTATGGTCTCCACTGGTAGCTCTGAGCTTGCCAGTGAGCACTGGCAAGCTTTGGCTGGTTGCTTTTTTAGTGTCACCGGGTTGATCGCATCAAGTTGTCTCGGCCAAATGTTATCGGCATGTTTGAGAGTTCGCAGCGGTGTACCACGATCTCTGGAACAGTGCAGATTGCAGTTTCTAGTCTGAACTGAGTAGCGATTACCGGAACACAGTGAAACCCACAGCAAAATCCGACTCGGAGAAATTCAGAATTCTGGCCATTGAACGGCGCCGATCCGATCGCCTCAGGCCATATTGAAAACCGGAACGGCATGTCGTTGACAACTTGACATCACTTGGTTCCCTCCTGTCAGCGAGAGAATTGATGCCATCGAATGGTTCGACCCGAACCGCTATCCTATTCCTATCATAAGCTGCTGACCGAGCGCCAGCAAGTTGCTTTAAGCAACCCCATGGTAGTGAACGAGGAGGTGAGGGCCTCGCCGTGACTCACGGCCCGTGAGACAGTCTCACTGAGCCTCCGATTGTCTAGCGCTCCTAAGCTAGGCAACGAGCTCAGCCCGCTAATACTGTGCCGATGTATGCAACTCAATACGGCCTTGTTACAGATAGCAAGACTTGATAATACACCAATAACTTATGAGTAACGAATGGGATGGTATAGCTTAGCTAATATCTTAGCTGATACAAACGGGGACAACGGAGACACAGATGTGCATACCGCAACAGTCTCAACTGACAACAGTTAACGTAATATGTTCCCATATCAGCACACTCCCCCAAGTTGCCAGTAAATGGCAACTTGTATACTAACAGTCACTTTTTACGAGCAACTTTGTTAGACTTCAACATATCTGAGACTCTGTCGATTGCTCTCTTGCGGCTTCGTGTCATGACTCCAGCACCGTCATTCATAACAGCCTCTTGCCATATCTTCAACTCTTCTCGGCTCACTGGAGGTTCGTCCTCATGCACTTCGGGCTCAACCTCAGCTTGCACACCCTTTTCCAGGAAGGTGGGAGAAGTAGGACCCTTACCAGTCTTAATAGGTCTTCGTCCTTTCTTCAGCTGGTTTACAGGGCATTGCACGGTCACATCGTCATCTGCCTTCTTCAAACTTATAGTTGCTCCATCACGGTCAACAACCTCATAGGGACCAGAAAATAAGGTACCATATTTTTCAGCAGTTGGGTTACGACGCCAGACAGTATCGCCAATTGTTATAGAGTCTTGGTCAGTACGTCGGATCTTGGCCAGTCGTCTTCTAGTTTCGCCCTTCCGGCGGATCCACAATGACTTCAGCTTTGATAAAGTACGGATATTGTCGTTGAGGTAAGCCTCCTTCAAGGAACCAAGTGGTTCAATTAAATCATCATACAGCAGTCCCGATCCTAGCCACTTCTTAATTTCAGCGATAGCAGATTGGTCACGTGTCAACAGTGTGGCCGTCAGACCACCAGTTGGTCTCATGCATAGCCATGGACATAAGTCATTGTCAGCTTCATAGGGGATGTTGTTCACGACATAGGTAGCCTTGCTCACCAAACACTTCAGGTCCCTGACATCCTCAATAGATCGACCACGATCATTAGTCATACACCTTATAACTGATGAAAACTCAGCATGTGGACGCTCAAGCCAACCTCGTCGTGCCGCATCGAACCCAAACGTGTATACATGGACAACATTGTGCTCGGCAAGGAGCTGCTTAAACCTTATAGACATAAAGCAGCTTCCTTGATCAGTTGCTATTACACGAGGCCACCCATTGGCATTCAGTAATTCTATAGTCGCACAGGCCACATCCTCAGTGCCTGGAGAGTCGATAACCGTAGCAGCTACAAACTTGCTAATGTAGCATACCAATAGAAGGACCCAATGTTTGACACCGTCAGCATCTTTGATGGGTCCTGCTAGATCAGCACCAACGACACCCCATAAGAGAGGCACCCATGATTTAGATGTTGATATAGCTTTAGTGAGGGTACGGCCATACTTGGCTTGGCAACAGACGCTACAGGAAGAAATCCAATGTTTCACTCTCCTATGAAGTCCCTTAAAGTCACAGACCCCACGTAACAAGCCGACCGTCTTGGTGATACCGGGGTGACCAAAATCTCGATGAAACCTGTCAATCACCTCGTCCTTCAGCTTGTCGTCATCCGGAATGTATACTACCCAAGTATCGTCTTCATCTGAATTCCATCGTCTGCTCATCAAGGTACCACTTTCATCATCAAGATGGAAGAACTTAGACTGAGAACAGGACGGATCAGATCGTAGCTTGGACATAATAGATACACAATTAGGATCAGCGGATTGAGACACCTTAACACGTGGCAAGAACTGTTCTATCCAGGAAGCGGTTGTGTCTTGAGTAGCAACGCAGCAAGACATCTCATTGATCACAAGGGCTTCTTCAATGTCATCCTCATCGGACAAATCCTCTTGCTTGTCGTCGGTACCCAAAGAACCATCGTTGAGGTTAAAGTCCACGAGGCAATCATCTGCTAAGGCACTGCACACAGCTTCCCATGAACACTGGACTGGCTCACAATTCCCACAGGGCCGAGTAAGACGGTCCGCTAGATTGTCACCGGAGCGAATGTGTCTGAATTCAATCTCAGGCACTACCTCTTGAAGCTTGATCTTGTTCAACATGGCCCTTATGTGATTCAGTCTCCTCTTCTCCGGAGATGGAAGCTTCTCAATTTTGCTACTCTGTGGATGGCAAATCACTAAGCGTAACCGATATAGGGTGATGCTGCTATCATTGACGATGGTAACATGCTTCACTCTGGAAGTGAATGTAGATAGGATGGTTGAAACAGCTTGTACACCTGTGAGGAAATATTGTACACAAGTGTCTTCTGTAATTTTAGATTCTTGTGATACTAGTCTCCCTTGCTAGCCTAGCGTATACTTTATGATTACTGTATTGATCATTAGTTAAGAACCACTTGTTTATAACTCTTGTTGAGTTATCTAATCCTAACAACACCCATACGCAGAGACTCCAATTCACGTCGGGGGATGGAACCACCAGGGTGAGTTGATATTCTCGAGAGTAATCGTCGCCCATTAGCACGTGAACGGACATCGACAGCCATAGCGAACTCACTAGCATCGACAAACACCACCAGACCTTCTATAGGAATATATCGAGGAGGCAACATCCTTGTGGAGCAAGTGAAGTACTTCTCACACTGTTGTAGACACTCTTGAGAACGGAGCAGATAATCACCGGTGATAGCATCATTTTTCACTAGTCCGTGATGTACCTCACCAAAACCAGCATTGTGTAGTTGTCGCAGTAAGGCCTTTATCTCCAAACTGGCCTCCGCCACCAGACCCAAAGGGTCGAAAAGCCTTGCTGTAATGGATCGTAGGGACGACATTCGGACTTCCCTAGGCAGACGAAAGTCTGGTAGTTTAATGTCCACATTATCACAGTTGGGACTAATAAACCATCGATAGCCGAGCCACGAGGCCATTTGTAAACCATCCATACCAGTAACATCACTGACAGTAACATCGTGGCCAATAGAAGAACGTGCTGTTCCCAGATTATGGAAACGTTTCTTCTCGTTGATGTCAAAGCCTCTTCGTTTAAGAGCTTGTACAACGGAGATGCGGGAAGCTTCAACCTCAGAGATAGAAGATGCTCCTATAAGCACGTCATCGACATAATAACCAACACCATCCCGTATCTTTGCAGGCAGGGAGGAGAAAATTTTCTCCAAGCTGCTGCCCAATGCCCATGGTGACCAATTAGTTCCAAACGGTACTCGAGAAAACTTAACCAAATGACCAGCCACTACCAGTGCGAGGTAATCGGTGTCCTCGTCATCGACCTTTCCTCCGCGAACCAGGACTTGCCAGAACGCCTTAGAAAGATCGTCACATGAAGCTCTCTCAAAGCTTCTCCACAACATAAGCGTGCCAAATAAGTCCATAGACGTACTGCCCGTGCCATCACCAGTGGTAGTAGTATAAGTATTAAGTGGTCTGGCGTCCAAACAGAGCCGGCATTTGGTGCTTGTCCGGTTGAGATTAAACACTGGAACCACAGCCGTATAGAACTTAGCGAAGTCGTGCGGAGACTGATCAGGAGGTTTTTCAACAACAACGCCTGATTCCAATAGTTCATGTACAGCACTTAAATACGCCTCATATTTCACAGGGTCATGCTTCAAACGAGTCAACACCTTGCGATCTCTGGCCCACACGTCCTTGAAGTTATACCGTGGTCTCGCAGAGCTTTTCCATGGGATAGAAACAGACAAGCGATCTGCTACAACTTCAGCGTGGTTGCACTGGATAGCGAGACTGTTATCCTGAAGCCATCGATCGGGTATACACGAATCATCATCAAATATGCCCATAGGACGGAATATTATACGGTCTGGGCAGTGAGACTCGGCCGATACCACCCAGGTGCATGGACCCAGAAGACTTTTCGGTACGATGACATCATATTTGCTATGTTCAATGACATAGCAATCGCACTGTCGGACTTGATGACTAGCTAGGTGAATCTTAACACCAATCACCTTGTCAACAATCGCACACGACGTACCATTAATCATAGTCAACATGCTTGAAGTAGCAGTAGTAGTGGTACTGAGCTCAGGGATACTCTCTTTCATGCTGTTAAAAACCCTTCTTGTAATAAAGACGTCGGTGGCACCAGAATCCAGTAGGGCATAATATCGATGTTCATCACCTTCGAACCATACCGGTATCAGAGGCAAGCCATTGGAAGCCTTCTCCAAAACTTGGACATCCGATGATCCTTCATTGCACTCTACCATTGATACCATGCAGGCTGAGTGATCCTGAAATGAGTCACTGACAGTGGCTGTTGGGACAGGTTGTTCACAGCTGCCATCATGAAACTCAGCAATAAGACAATCAGGGCTCTCACCTTCTTCTTCTTCACAAGGTTGACTTCCTCCTTGAAAGAAAACTTCATCATACGGCACCTGCACAGCGTTACCCTCCGTTGTAGGAGCAGCAGTAGTTGTAGGATTAATAGTAGCATCTTGGGATTCGAACTTGTCAAAACGAGCCCTTATTCTTTTGCCACCAATATCAGCACCATTAGAAGCTTCAATGAATGCTTGCGCTGGTTTATGGTCATTGAACTTCACTGTGACAAAACCCCTACGGGGTAGAAGTCTCACATACACATCAGTATCATGCCCTAACAGTCGAGACACAAAATCTTTTACATCCTGATAATTCCAAGCTAGCGGAACACCAGAGAGGAAAACCCGTTTAGCATCTGGACTCGTGGAGAACTCAATGACATTAGCTTCCTTGTCGGTCTTCTTCTTGTCCTTCTTACTAGGAGTAGCACTCTTGACCTTAGCAGAGGACGCACCACGAGTCGTGGAAATAGTAGGATTACTCGTCGCTGTAGTGGGAGTTCCGACCAACGAAGCACCATAGCGAACTCGTAACTGAGCCCACCTTCTAGTTTCAGAAATCATACTCTCCATAGTTGATACGGAAGTCAGCGGCATTCTATCGAGATAGAGACGAGCCTCAGTTGGCAAACCTGAGTATAGCCGAGCTCGTAGCTCACTGTCTGTAAGAGGACATTCGCGAACTTCACCGATCTGGTCTTTCATGGTCTGAATGGCGGCGATGTAAACTTCCAAAGTAGTAGGACCATCACACTTCAGATTCTCCCATTTTCGGTGGAGCTCCATTTCGCTACCGAGATCACTATATAGTCGTAAAACTCGCCATGCAGTAACAACCCGTTGACTGAACAAAGTGTTCCCCTTCACATGGCATTGCTCATTAATCAGTTGTTGTAGGGGAGTAGATACATTATTGATGATATAGAAGTATTGGTAAGCACTTGACAGCTCCCCCGTGCCAGAAAATTGTATCTCTGGCTGATTCATAATAGTCTTCTTGAAAATCATGTAACCCCTCTTATCAGTCACACCAGAGAATCGGCCTCCCTCTATAACACCAGCAGACTTAGCTTGTTTGCTAATCTTCATGATAACCAAAGGCTCTATCACCAACGACGATTTGGCACTTCGGTCAGATTTAGTGCTATCGAGCTGTTGTTTGACCTCCTCAACAATACCATGCACTGTATTAGCAGGACCATCCTTGCTGTCATCGCCAGTAGCACCAGTAGTACCATTTGCATCATGTCTGGTCTTGTGATCAGCGTTGGACTCAAGCTGTGACTTAATACCTGCAATCGACTCCGTCAACGAATCTAGCTCCTTCTTCAGCTGCCAAGCCCACACAGGTGGGGATTGCTCAGTACTGCTTTTCTTATTGTCATCAGTCAGTACTGGGTCAGACGCCTTGGGAGATACCATAGAGCAATTGAACCGTTACTTGTTGAACAGAGTGGTCTTTACACAAGAGCTTGAGGTAGTTGCTTCTCGGATGATTGTGCCGATGTATGCAACTCAATACGGCCTTGTTACAGATAGCAAGACTTGATTATACACCAATAACTTATGAGTAACGAATGGGATGGTATAGCTTAGCTAATATCTTAGCTGATACAAACGGGGACAACGGAGACACAGATGTGCATACCGCAACAGTCTCAACTGACAACAGTTAACGTAATATGTTCCCATATCAGCACAACACCAGCGCTTCTCGATGAGTGACACTACCCACTAAGCGATGACTAATGGCAATACTAACTATAGCACGTACATCGTGAGTGTGTCATAATGCACGACAGTGTCATGATGACACTGCATGAAACCGCACAGTGTGCCATCGGCTTGAGCTGGATAGATCCGCTCCTAACTTAAAACGCCAGGCTGGCAGCCTATGTCCCACGGATTCAGCGTCCTCTCCAAGCTCGCCTCACTGGAGCCGGAACCGGTCGGTACGAGTGAGCAGAGTGACTCTGCCAGAGTCCCCTCTGCTTCGCGTGAGTACGGCACTCGCACTGCAGTAACTTCGTGAACTTTGCTCACGTGCCGCTTTTTTCGAAGACTGTGACCTTCAGGAGCCTGCCGTTCGACTACGGTGAGTGGTCGCCGACAAAAGTTCCTCGGATAAAGGCGAGAACAAGTCATAGTATCCTCTTGGACCCAGAGTCAGGCGTCTATTCTGATAAAATTGAGGGGCATCGCGCAGAGGATGTAGACTCTGCTGACCCATCATCACTGATCAAATGGATGGTACTGGATTACCGCTATCGATTGCGGACCCTCGGTTCTCCTGAGGACACTGAGAAAGCGCAGCCACCTCGTTCCTAGCGACCGACGTCTGCGCTCGACAATGTGCTTCTAGACTGGCAGTGCCCAGCGACCGAAGAGGAATTGCCACGATGCGCGGTTAGCCAGGCTAACTTAGCCTCCACAGCATACACTGAGGTGAGGTTTAGTGAGCCTGAGTCACATTAGATAGCTGAGCCTTGGCGACTCGCGGGACGCGAGCCGTGCGAGATACACGGACCGTGTAACACGGTGTGTCCTACACCATGCATTATGCATAGCTTAACACACCTTACGTATGCGGCTTGCAGCGGGTGTGTGCCGTCACTTAATAACAATACGGTAATCACTCATCGGGTTTTCGTCACCAGGACCGTGATATTCCCACAGTGAGGCTTGCAATTTGCAAGTGGCACGGGATATCTGGGTCACCCAGACTACCAGTCGGGGTGAGTCACCCCGACTGTCCGACTGTCTGAGACTGGGTGCGCTACGCTACGTAGGCTACACAGAGTAGCTCCTTGTCACAAGGGCTCTATGTGCTGAAGTACCCTTAATGGGTCCCAGATACATTAGGGTTGAAGTATCACATCAGCCGTATGACGCCGCGTCGTTGACGCGTGCTGTGCGTTAATCACGCGTGATGTACGAGACTGCACCTTACAGTGTAGGGGAAAGCTAGCCTGGCTAACACTGGCAGTGCAATGCAATCGTGGCGTCGCTATAGCGCGCTGTCGACCATTGGGATTGGCATCCGCTAGTTCCGGAGACAGGCGACCCCTCAGACTCGACGAGCGCCTCGGGCGATCGCCTCAGGCGACTCCAGGGATGGGAATTTGTCTCTGGGCTGATCCCGGCCGACCCGCAGTCCGGGTGGCTTACAATTAACCGCCCCGTCCCGTCCGACTAATATCCCGGCTTCGTGAATTAGCCTCCTGTCCCGACGTGGTTTCCGGTTTCCCGGCCGGAATTTCCGTCCCGGAAAGTCGGAATCCCTTGACTCCCTAGGCTCTACGCTCCATAAGAAAGAAACATGCGGATAAAATTGTGTACTTATCATGATCGTGCATTGAAAGAATTACTACACTTATGAATCTAATCATCCTCTAGCAACACTCTGTTGCCAATATCCTCATGGCTCACGAATCGAGTCCATACTATGGACTCCATAGTATAGACTCTTTACGTGAATCTACTAAGCATGTCAAATTGATATTGTTAATGATGTGTTATGCAATTACTCTAGCAGTTTAACTGCTGCAGTGAGCCACTGGCTCAACAATGAACATGAATGGCGAGCGTAATAGAACCAAAGCTCGGAGGCGGTCGGCAGTAAGCCTTGAACGCTCCCGACGAGACAAGCACCCCGCTAGACTGAAGACCGATTCTGAGGACACGCTAGTGCAAGGGAAGCTGCCTAAAAGCTTAGCGACAGTGCTGACAGGCGACAGCTTGTCGCCGACAAGTCATCACAGCGTATCCAGAAACGCTCGTAGCGGGATGATTTGGCATCCCTCTCAGCGGGCTTGGTCTTCTTCTTAGGCGGGGAGCTACTGTCCGAGGGGACAGCGAAACTGCGAGCTCTCATCTCGTATTCACAGAAGATAGTCATCATCTCATCCTCGTAACGCTCCTCGGCACTCATTTGCTGGTGCTGGTGATTTGCCGGCTGGTCGAAAAAGTCATTGATGAGACTGTCGAACGAGTCCACTGGCTTCTGCTGCAAGTCCATCCCACTAGTCTTCTTCTCCGTATCTTCACATGTATCCAAATTGAGAGCCTCTAAGCATTTAAGTGTTGCTTTTCGCCCCTCCACGTCACTTACATGATACGGGAGCTTTTCCCTCACATCACGAGCAGTGGTAGATTTTCGCAGCAGTGAGATCAATGTTCGAACACGGTCAACCGAGCGCTAAGCGCTTGCTTGGGTGCGAGTTACCCGCCCAGCAGTCTCGATGCCATCACGGAATGCTTCATCATCTCCTTCAAGCCCCCAATCAGGCTCGCCCTGTTCAATGTCCTCCTCTGCCTCCATCAGAAGCGCATCAGTGTTGACATTAGTGGAATTGTCGCCCTCGATGGACTCCTTTGCATCCATTTCCTTCAGAACTTCTTCCGCTTGTGCTAGACCGTCCTCTACCGTTTTATGTCCATAGATGCCAGCCTTCTTAGTGTGCCTCGTTTTATATAGGGCCAAACCATTACACACCGTCAAGTGCAGACGGTGTGCAGCACAGGGCAGCCATTGTTTGAGAAGGCACATAGTGCCGGATGCGACCAAATCCGAGAAACATCTGACCATATTGCTACCAGAGTCTGTGCATGCTAATGCGCACTGAACAGCGAGACATGTCTAGAGGATGTCTATGACAGGTAGCCTGTCTGAGGAGATACCTTTCCTTGAAGGCCCATTTTATTGATAGTGCTCGTTAAAAGACAGCTGATATTGTCAGCCGTGTGCTTTGACCTCAATGTCTCAAAGCCGATGACCCTTGTCTGTAAGGAGCCGGTGAGCGAAGGGTTTTCCGGATCAGCCGGATGAATGTAGTGTGCTACTAAGGAGAGCACCTGAATTGGTTAGTCCTCTCAGGGCCGTCGTTTTTCCAACAAATTCCGATGGCTGCACAGTTCCGTAGGCCCTTGAATCCCGCGGTACAGATATCCAATCGATCGCTGAGCCACCTGAAATGTTTAAATACGATCGATTGATATTGAAGGCCGGGACTTGACTATAATTTCCGTCAGTAGTACATAGGGTGCAGCAGTATTTCATCACCGGGTTATTTGCCGACGAGAGGGTATAACGTACTGAGGCTTGTTTCGGCATGTTAGATGGTAGTACCATCATGGTACACCAAGGCTTGAAAACCAGGCTTCTCAACGAGAGAAATAGGCATGTTGTCTGTAACAACCTAGCAAACTTCGACCACTGCCGAGGAGTCCTGACTCAGGATGCTGCTCACCATGTTGATGATGAGTTCGGTTGTTTTTCGTTGAATGCTTTCCTAGCCTTTTCTTCGAGCTTGTTGGCGGATTTGTCGCCGGCTATTTCAGATGGCTTAGCACGGCAAGAATGCTCTCGCAGTGCTTTATAGCTCGACTTCGCTATAACGAGCTTCACGCCGGAGTTCAAGCGCTCCGCCAGCTCCTTGCCAAGTCTTGCGAAACGACCCCTTCAACTCGGCCTCAAAGCGTTTGGTGACCTTATCTTGACGAACGAAGCCATTCGAGGTACCCTAAATGGATAGGACTCACTGCATACTGGAACCCAACGAATAAAGCCAAGATCTGCGACTCGAGAGTATAATGTCAAAACCTTACGTGTTTGTTGCTGTTTTACTTCATCCCGAGTTCCACATTCCGTTGAGTTGCTGTGAGCATCGACCACTGGGCCGTTACTGGAGAAAGACTCCTTGATGGTGTCATTGTGCACATTATTCCCTCCCTTTGCATGCTTCATGTCCATATCATGTGAGGGGAACCCGAGGAGGGAATTGAAG